ACAACCATCTCAGGCTCTTTTGAACAATGATTCTGTTCCGAATCCCATTCCCAGTACCCAGAAACGCAAACGAGGACCTTCCAATACAACCGGCACCCAGAAAAAACGCAAGGATGTATGTTATCTTACTGTCCAAGTCATTTCATCAACCGCTTTACTAACTTTATTTATTTGATTTATTGCTGTATAAAACCAGAAATCGAATTACGTTCCCGAAGGTCTGGATGTTGACCGAGACTCTGATATCGAGATAACCGGAGAGACTCAGCCTGCACCTAAAGCTGAGGTGCGCACTGAACGTGTCCGTGAACTTCTCAAGTACTATGAAGATCCAGTCGAATGCCCAGATGAAGTAAGTGGCACTGGCTTCTATTTGTTCCCTCCTTTAACTTTCTTTCACAAACTCATCTACATTCTTGGTATTTGGATATTTCGATTCAATCAAGATCGGCAGCGGTATTTTCCGGTATTACAAGTGCCGGTTTTGTAAAAAATCTTTTTCAAAACCCCCGAATACTTATCAGACTCTATACGACCATCGCGATGGGGCCAAAACTCAACCAGTTTGCCAGAAACGACACGTTGCCATCAAGCAAGGATTCGACCTCAATAAATCTTGGCCTGAGCAACAGAAGGCTAAAAAGGAACAAAATAACAACTTACACTGCCAGCATTAAAGAGGTTCCCAGATGGGAATATGGGTCCTAGTGATCACATTCCCATCCTGCTACTGTTACACAGTTCCACAAATATTTCCTGAGTAGCCATTGTGATATATGTAGTCAATATTTTGAGATGTGTGTCTCAATTTGAACAAAGTTACAGCATGTATTACACATGAACTTCTTATCTAGATGAGCAGATAACTGAGCGAACCTGTATGTAGCTGATAGCTAAGGATTTACTCAGATGTTTGCACATATGTAGTGTATGCTTTATGGCTCAGATGTGCAGTGCAAGATGATTTGATGCACCATTCTTCTCTCAATGATATTCCCAGCCTAGGTCACGTTCCGACCAGGGAACCTATTTAATGCTGGCAGTGTTAGATCGATTTGTTGTCAAGCAACCTTTTGGAATCAAAAACCTCAATCTCATGCTGGTCATTTGGGTTCTTTGTCACGCGCTCCCGTGGGCAAGATTTGAAGACTCTATTCTTCGTGCAGCCTTTTGGTTTTCAAACCCGCTGGCAACTCTTTACTCAGCAACATGGGCAGCCCAAGCAGCCCAGCGCTTATACATAGGACTCCAAAAAAATGTCATAAGTAGCATCTTGGTACGTTTTTTTCTGGTAACGTTTAATTTCCTTTTCACTTTGAATTAATCTCATTAATCCATACCACACAGGAAAATGACAGTGCCTTCTGTCTAATGCACGATGGGTGGACGACAAAGGGACAACGGCATGCTTTTATTGGGGCCAGTGTTTTGTTTATTGATAGTAACTGGAGATACCAGGTCCGACACCTCACCCTCAAGCTTGTGACATGGAATCACTACGGGGTTCTACTGGCTTGTCCCCTGGCTCGATTCCTTGTTTGACACGGCCTACACAAGAAAATAAGTGTATTTAATTCCTTTTTCTTTGATAATCACCTCGAATATTGAGCCTGACATGAGAATGTTGTTTTATCCACATGCTTGCGCAGACAACGGATTCAGGCGCGAACAACAACACAATGGCGACAGAAATGTCAAAGATCTTCTCTGAAGGTGAGGATCCGGTGTTCTGGGATGCAAGGGTCAACCATGTGCGCTGTTACGCGCACAAGCTGGCTCTTGTGGTCAAAGCCGCTTTGCGAAGTATCAAAATTGATCCAGGACATACAAAGCCAACTACGACTCCTGGCCGTGAACTTCCTACACCCTCGCTTGGACTTGACGACTCATCCAACTTTCCTGACGACCCAAACAACACTGAACCGGTTGATTGTCTTGAAGATGGAGAAGATATTGGCGGGGATCATGATGGTGATACTGACTCTGAGGTCGAGGATGGAGATGATTCTCAATTGCAGACTCACTTGGCCAGTAGGTGGAAAACTGATGTAGTGGTACAGGCAGTCCAAAAGGTCAGTTTCTATCATGCACAACCGAGATCATAGTCACATACTGAATGATGATTTTGTTTCCAGGTGGATCTTTTTGCACGCCGGGTCTGTTCGAGTGCTGCCCTGCGAGCACTCTTCAAAGCACGAAGAGAAGGACAGGGGTCGATCACGGCGGGTTACGGAATACGTTGGAATGCGGCGGTCCAGTCTCGCCAAAAGGTTTGTGAAGCCCAAGAGGTATGTCTGGACATATCGATCATCCTATAGATCATATCATATCCCTTCTCACCATGTGTTGTTTATGTTTTCAGACAGTGACCCAGATGCTAGGAAGTGCCGATAGTCATCTTTTTGATGAGATGTGTATAACTCAGAGCGAATGGGCCGCTGTGAGGGCCTCAAATGGTGTCTTAGAGGTATGCAGCACTTGTAATTTGTTCTTCTAACCATCATTAACAGTACTGATATATTTCAAATTTGTAGATATTCCTCTCTTCGACCCTCATGATGGAAGGGGATAGTCCAACAGGAGCGCGTGTCTTGTCCGAGTATCGTCGAATGGAGAAAGCTTTAGAGAAAATGGAGGCTGAGACTAAATACAAAAGCTTACATAAGATGATCGGGGTAATGCGTGTGAAACTCGCGGTGTATCATAATGAAGCGCTCAGCTGTGACGCTCTTGTCATGGCTACAGTTTTAAATCCAAGCAAGCGTATGAAGTTCTTTGAAAACTACTATCCTGCGGAGGTACCTCGAATTCGAACGATGTTGGATCAAGCTTTTCAAAGGAAAGTGGTATCATCAGAGGCAAACATCGAGATCACTTCAGCAACAGCAACATCACAAAATACAATCAAAACTACTCACGATCAAGACGACGACAATCTCTTTGGACCTTCAGAAGTGTCTGCATCAATCAATCGATCAGACGAATTAGAGCTCTATCTTGGCACAAAATATCCTTATAAGGACGGGTGTATCTTAAAGTGGTGGGAGGTGAGTGTCTGATTTTTCTCCGTTTTACTCTCTCTTCATGTCACTTATGTCTTATGTGTGGTTGATTTGGGGCAATAGGAGAACTCAAAATGGTTCCCATTAGTGGCAGCGCTTGCGAAGGATTATCTCGCATGCTTGGGTACCACATGTCCAGTCGAAAGGACTTTTTCCTCAGCAGCCGATGTCTGCCAGCCTGATCGTGGTGGCCTCAACTCAAGCACGATGGAGCACGCTGTAGGCTGTAGAGAGTGGATCAAAGCGGGTGTGGCTACACCAGCAGAGTTTTCAGAAGCATCTGAATTAATTGAAAAATATTTAGTAAGGCAACATAGTAATAAAACAAAATGATCTCGCTCTTTGTATTTGTAAATACAAATTATATTACAGTTTGATTATGTGAACTGCAAAAAAAATACTGTTCGCGATCCCAACCAACTTTTACCGCCATTTCGTATCGGCTCGTATCGCTTCAGCGATACGATATGAGCCTCCCCAAAAAAAAATTTTTCATGTCGTATCGGGAGTTGGTTCATATATATCGGTGTCCCGATGCGACATGAAAAAGCCCTGATATATCGTATGGTATCGGATAGGTTCGGGCGTTGTCCAGGGCCAAACCGTCCCCATTCGTCACTCGTGGACTCGAAGTTGAGATCCGGCAGAGCGGCATGCAGATCTCATAGTGAGCCACCGGCGCCCAGCGACACAGCCTAGGGCACGCATTTTGCGCTGTGCCAGAAGACGACTGCGGCTGGTGGACAGTACGCTGGTGATATCCGCAAAGCTTACCCTAAACCACAGGTTGCTCCCGCTGCCTCGCCATAATTAACAGGTCAACCAGACCACGGGCCGCTGCTATCCTTCACCCCATTCGACTGCGCATTCTTATTTCGCCATGGTAAACCTCCTCCCCCTCGATCTCTGCTCCTTATCACTTCCAACCATGAGCAGAGCCTTTACTTGATTCCCACTGTCATGGTGGGGATAAGGAACGAAGCCTAGCTAGGGATGCTGACTTCGTGCTCTGCTCCTTCCGTTTGAATTTTCGATATTCCCACCGTTCAGCCTTGTGAAGTCAAAGACATCAAAGCCTTCCTTTTGACCGCTCAGCGCAAGGATGCAACCGGTTAGTACTTCGCTCACTCGAGACTTCAGGTCACTTCTCACTTACTTTTGATTTCCGTGCTCAGCTTGTCGGATAAAGAAATCGACACGCAAAACCGGCCCAGGTACCACTATTCCTGTCACCAAGTTCAAGGTCCGATGTTCGAAATACCTTTACACCCTCGTACTTACTGACTCCGAGAAGGCCGAGAAATTGAGGGCGTCTCTACCACCCAGTGAGCACTCCGTTCATGGACTCTTTATCCCCTTACTACACCGCAGACTTACCCAATTTCCACTCTACCTCAGCCCTTAAGATCGAAGACGTTGACAAGGAGAAATCAAAGAAGAAAGCATAAATGCTGTGATCTTCCATTTCTAGTCACCATGTTATGCCTATGCTCAGAATGCAACGTCAATGCCCGTCCCTTGACTCGCGCCTCATGTCCGATGATGATCGTTGGCTATCCACATGCATACGCATTCGACATCGCTCAACCTCCGAGCTACTGTCAACTTCTATATCATGCTGCTTTTGCTTCACTGGTTCATGATTCAAGCCATCACTTGGTCGTCTTAGAAACCATCCGATTCATTTCTACCACCCATATCCTCCCATCGCACCCTCTTAGACAGTTCCGTGATAGTGGCATGACCCAGGTCTACCTTTCAACACATCTCCGGAGATTCAGGGTTTAAAAGCGTAAATTTATAGACTGGAAAATTAGAAGTTGGCGGAGTTGTGAAAAAGATTTCTGTTTTGTCACTCGCTTAACTGTCAGTCCGCTCATACATTTTATGTTGTACCCATTATCATGGTTGGTAATTTAACAGTCCCGCCTGCAATGAGATGAATCGCATCCTGTTATCCCCCCCTGTTCACAGCCGGTGAAAGGCTCAGTTACTGCAGACACATGTCGTGACGGTATGATGGCCTGAACCACGCCCCCACCTGCAGAATTTTGAAGTTCACTCAAAAAGCTTCAGAGCATCCACAGCGGACTTTGCAAATTTCAAGATTCAAATTTTTGACTTTCCAAATTTTTCAACCTGACCTTCAAATTTGAAGGTCGGGTTGAAAATATTTTTAAAAGTTAAAAATCACGTGGTAGCCTTGCACGTGCACTATGGACCGCTCACTTGTACTCAGTAGAATCAATTCTACGCGATTGAACTATATTTGAACTACAACTCCACAGAAACCAGCAGAAACAGGACAAGCACTTGAAGCGCGCGAAACACGACTCCATTGCCATGTCTCACTCCAATTTAAACATCTTCCCCTTTGAATCTGTTGACCTTACACAGCTCTTCAATTCATCACCGGCACCAGTCAGTGACTCCTTGGCGATTTCACTTCAAGCATGTCCTTCCAATCATTCTTGCGATGCTCTGACTGAGGTCTCCACCAAAAAGGCCTCTAAATCAACTAACCACTGTGGCCCAAACTGGTCAATTGCGGAGGATGTTCAATTGTGTCATTTGTGGCTTGAAACTTCCCTTGACAAGATTGAAGGGGTTGATCAAAAAGGTGATCAATTCTGGACCCGTATATTCAAGCACTATAGTGATAGACACGCCGACACAACTGAGAAGTCAAACCAAAAGGATCCGCCTCACACTTGCACTGGTGTTCAACAACGTTTTGGAGTCATCCAACATGCTGTCAATAAGTTTTGCGGAGCGTATGAGGCTGCCAAGCGACGCCATAAGACAGGGCAGGTTGCTTTAGATTGGGTATGTTGTCAATTTCACTGAGCTGAGTTAACTTGAGTTGCTGACATACACTCATAATTCTATCAAGGTTGCAGAGGCACATCAGATCTATATAGCCTCTAATAAAGGCAAAAAAATTACTTTACAACACTGTTGGGAAGTTTTGAGATTGCATCAAAAGTGGGAAAATAATATGGATGATTTGAAACAAGACAACAAAGGTGTGACTACTCAAACCAAGCAAAAGCACAGCAAAACAAGCATTGACATTTGCTCTGATACAAACATCCTTCCATCCTCCAATGTTTTGGCCCCTCCCCTTGGCTCTGCGGGTGATAAATTTCAACCTCGCCCAAAAGGCTGTCGTAAAGCCAAACTGGAGCAGCTTGAGTCGTCAACCTCTGCAAAATCGACTGTCAAGGATGTACAATTACACACAGCAACTAATGAAGCCAAAAGATTTATTAGTGAACTCATAGCTGCTTTGCACAAAAAGGCAAATGCTGTCAACACAGCCTTGGTTTCAGCTCAAAAGATCAACAAAGATCAAATCATGTTAATGGATCCCTCCGGTATGACAAGACCACAACGTGCTTACATAGAAGAACACCAAGCCCAGATCTTTGCGGCTCGGCAAGCTAACAAGGTGATTGTTTCACTAGATTGCATGAATCCACTGAAACAAGGGCTGACAACACTGTCCTCTTTGTTGACTCTGTATATCAATTAATCAATTCCAGCCTGTTGAAGAAGAGGAGGATTTAGGTACCAACAGCGTGGGCAATTAAAACCTTCCATTCCAGTTCAAAAATTGTTCAAGAGAGAATATACGTAGTCTAGCCTGTTGAAGAAGAGGAGGATTTAGGTACCAACAGCGTGGGCAATTAAAACCTTCCATTCCAGTTCAAAAATTGTTCAAGAGAGAATATACATAGTCTATATTGAATATCTATAGATTACCGATCTATCTCCAACACCTAGAGTAATTAAATCTATACCTTAAAAAGATTGTTATTTTTTGGCTCAAAATGATGATTGTGTATGAAAAAAGTAATAAAGTTGAATTGATATTCACCACCACCCTCTCTGTGAACTTGAGTTTTGACCAAATCAAAATGTAGCTTTATTGTGAGTGTTTTTGCAAATAAGAAAGCAAGTCTGGTGCTGAGATACCTCACATCATCATGATTGAGGTTGTTTTGTTGGACTCGAGTTCAAGTGGACATAGGTACAATTTGATATCAATAATATTCTCACTCTTTTGTCAGATATCATCATATGGGAGTCATCGTATTTTACAAACTTACCATCAAGCGAAGTTAGTTGACTTCAATTTATATAAAAAACAGTTGAGGCATCAACTTCTTATTACCATCATAGCAGCAGTTTTTTTATTAAGAGAGCAAATCAAATAAAAGATAACAATCAATTGATCTTGATTTTAAACATATATCATAGATTTTCAAAGAGTTCATTTGTCAATTTTTTTTCAGTCAATCAATCTTGATTAATGTCATTTGAGCCAAACATGTTCCATAGATGTTCAACAGGATCATTTGTCAACTTTTTATTAGCTCGCTTGTCACGCATTCCTGCAAGGCTCCAAAGGTAAATTTGAGTCTTTTGGTAAGAATCCAAGTTCGGTTGAGGTGGGGGAATTGCATTGTTGAGATGTTCCGGCAAGCCTTTGGGAACAGGCTCATCATTTCTTGCATTCTCTTCAACCTGCATATTATGTAGGATTGCTGCAGCATACATGATAGCTGAAAGGTCTTCTTTGTGCCACAACCTGGCGGGACCATGTAGAATGCCTGATTGAGCAAACAAGGTCCCAAAAGTCCACTCGACATCTTTACAAATTGATTCTTGGAGACGAGCAAACAGCTGTGGGAAAACAAAAATGTTAATCATATAATCCAACCCAATTGAATTAAGCTTAACTTACACACTGTTTATTGGAAGTTGGGTGCTGAATTGTTTTGACCAAGGTAGTGAATGAAGGATAGATTCCATCCGCTAAATAATACCCCTGTGAGTAGTCATTGTTGTTGATGGTGTAATTGCATGGAGGTGCCCTTCCTTCTAAGAGATTTTCAAACAAAGGTGATTGGTCAAGAACACTGATATTGTTCAAGCTTCCAGGAAATCCAAAATTTGCATGCCAGATCCAGGTATTGTATAATGCTACCACCTCTAATACCAGTGTTGGGACTCTTTCTTTACCCACATATTGTCCAAGCCACACGATTGGACAGTTCTTCCAGGTCCAGTGGGTACAGTCTATTGATCCAAGCATACCTGGGAAACCTTGCTTTGCCCCAGCCAATAAGAGTTTTTTGATATCTTGGGCATTGGGCTGTCAAAGGTACTCGTCTCCAAAGAGTGATTTCACATGCCGGCAGAACAGTTTCAGAGATTCCAAGGCCGCACTTCCACCAATCTGTATGTGTTCGTCAGTAGCATTGGCGGCATACCCGTATGCCATTTGTCAAAGGGCAGCTGTGACCTTTTGAATACAGCTTAGCCCAAGCACACCAGCAGCATCACGTTTTTGAATCCAATAACAATATATGCTTGAAGTGCATCCATGATTTGAACCACAATATATCTGTTGTATCAATATCTTTGGCGGAACTGAGCATCTGAATAAGAGTGATTGATGTCAGAGTATTGTTGAACAAGGATCCGGTGGGCTAGATGACAATGCCGGAGGATTTGACGTTGAGGACGGTTCCTGATAGGGATGATGTTTTTGTCTTCTTCAACTTTGGTAGCTGCCTGTAGCCATTCAATTGCAGCTTGAGCTGCAGCAATATCAATCTTGTGATCATCTTCAAAGAGGAATAAGATGTGGTGTTGAAGTTCCAATGCATTCATACTTGTGAAAAAAATGTGTCCCGCTGAGCATTGATGAATAGACTCTGGAAGAGTGTTCAAGAATCAAGACGCGTCTGGAGGAGATTCACAACACACTGTTGTGATTGCTTCAAACGGGGTTCAATTATGTTTATACTGAGAGTCCAAATGGAATCAAAGTTTGGAATGAATAGTCCGTTGTGGACTGAAAGATTTGAAGGTCAAATTACCCCTTGCAGCCAACCTTTCAAAAGTCAGACTTTTCAAATTCATGAAAAGTCCGCTGTGGATGCTCTCAGCTTTTTTCAAAGTACAGCCCTCTCAAAAAAGATTGATTTTTTTGGAAGGTCTTGGCAATGTGCAAAACCCGGGTTTTGATCTTGCTCACCAAGAGGGACTTAGTTAGGTTAGGGTTTTGTGCCTTACTTGGTTTTGTCTCTCCGCTAATTGGAAGATTACAGAAACAAACAAACCTGTAATCAAGTTTTGTCTCTGGTTTTACTTGCTGCAGAGGCAAGAACAAGGGGCCATCAGGAGAACCCTGCAGGTCACTGACAGTCAGGCCTTTCAGTGACCTGTCCCTGAGCTGTGAAAGCCAGCATAAGTCATCAGGAATTGACATTATGTAGGTGGAAATAACATTGATCATCATTGCAGCATTTCTGGGGATGCAGCAATGTGATGAGTGCGTCTTTACAACTTTCACAGCATCAGGTCCAACATAGTTTTGCCTGTTCAAGATACAGCTCTAAGTGACGGATAAAAAGGTGACAAAGAGGTGGGAAAAGTTAGCATATTTCAGAATTTGGCAATGTGACCCTAGATTTTGACTGCAATGGTGGTCTCAATCATTATGTGGGTCAAAGTTGGCCAAAAAGTGTCTAAATGTTTTTTATTTATGCCTCCCAGCCCTTCAAATTGATTTTTTTTACAAAAAAACACTGAAATTTGCTTCTCAGGAAGAGCCTTTTAAAGGTCTTTTAAAAAAGTTGAAATTACAAGGAGTGTTTTGATGTAGGGACATTTGCATTTCTTGTGTTTTTTTGGACTTGATCCTCCCAACCAAATAGTCTTGTGGCCTGCTTTAAATTTTGAGCTTTGAACTTCATGTTATGGGCACCACTCTTGGAACACCTGGCAAAATGATGTGCCAAAAAGTTAGGCCCAAATTCTGTCTTGCACCTCACTTTTCATAGCCCCCAGAACTGTTATCATGTGAATTGACTGAGTCATTGATCAGGGTTGACAAGAAAAATTATGGAGGAAAAATACTATTTTTGTACTATATTTAAGATTTGGATCAACACCCCCATCACAATGAAAGAAACCAAAGTATGGGTGGTTTCAGTTTTGTTACAAACCAATCAAAACCAACCTTACCACAATCAAAATAAAATTTGCAATTTAACAAAACACTGTGGTGATTAATGTATAGGATCAATCAAGAAACATTTAAATTGTATTACATCATTAGTCAGTTTGAGGTTTTTAATGCAAAATTCATATTTTTTTTCAATTTGTCATAGTGTTTCATTTGCTTTATCACATGTTATTACATAAGTCTCATTCATTTCTCTTAAAATTGATATTGAATTTATTCAATTTTAATAGTAAGATCATAATCAAGAACAAATATATATATAAAGTCAAAAATATAGGTAAATCATGTTGGAAAATGGGTTTTAGGGTAGAAATATTTAGTTTGATGGTTCAAGAAGATTATTATATTAAAGAGAAGGGTTATATTAGTCAGCAACCATTTGATCATAAGGAGTGATTAGTGAGGAGTGAAGGTATTGAGGAGAATTTCAGCTCATATATCAAGGGCATTGTGGTCTATGTGGGCCAAATGTGACCTGGGATTTTATGTTCTGGCTAGATCATCTACAACCCTCATGAGAGAACATAGGCTCAATTGTGTGTCATTAATCTGATCTCAACATGAACCTCAGCTGTTCTTGCATCTCAATTTTTTAGATATTAGGGGGTTTCAACTTGAGAATTTTTTGCCTAAAACTTTTACAAAACAGAAAAGTTTGCAAAATTTCAAGGTGTATTTTTTTACTTCAAATATACAGTCAACAGCATTTGGGACACCTAAAAAGGTTTCCCAAATTTTTATGTTTACAGTAATTTTTACAACAACAGGCAAGTTGTTGCACTGTAAAAATACCGTAAAAAATGCAACTTGAAACCCCCTATTGTACATCAAAAGTTGCCCTGTGGTGTACCTGGATATAGTCAGGGCTAATTTATCTCACCTTGAGAAACCATCACCAATTGGAATTCCCCTTGAGTGCCTGCCTTGGGTCAATTAGATCCTATACTTAGGGGACACTTAAATATGAACTTGTTTATGACATCACCAATTTCACCAAACTTGAAGTAGAATCCTACAATTCTGAATATCATTATTTCCAAAACATCTCTTTAGACTTAATTATGGTTCTCTCATCTATCTGAATTGATTTCTTTAAGACTTTTCAAATATTTCTTGAGATTGTCAATTTGTACCTATACATATATCATTCATGAGCAGCTGGTGCATATAGATTCAGTGAAGGTATATGGACTCAGTGTGTATCATGATTTTCCCATGGTGAAGAAATGTTATCTACCCAAAAATCCTTATAAGCATCTATGATCTTCTCTCTTAGTTATGAATTTTGTAAAAGCAGAAAAAGATCACACTCAACATAAGAAGTGAATTCTGAGTTTATTGATTGACACTGTGATTGTTACTGTATCCTAATCCATGAGCTTGAACCACAGTTTTTATGTAAAGAAACCTATGAATGCAAGCCCTGGTTGGCAATCTCCAATACCCTAAGTATATCTTGCATATGGCAAAAGGAAGCAGACACTTGAATTACCAAGTAAAGGCTTGATAGAGATGATGTATGATTATGTATAAGATGAAAGTTGAAACAAGTGAAGATTGACCATAGATAGGAGTGTTGAAAGTGTAAATGTGAAAGAAAGAAAAGTTGGACTGGATTGTGGATAAGTATGATAAGTTGAGAAGATTTGTTAAATTGGGAAGGAATCAAGAGGATAAGAATTGTAAAAGTTTGAACCCATCTTGATCAGATCACAGTGTAATCTGAGGATGAGTGTGAGTGTGAGTGTGAGTGTGAGTCGGGTCGATATTCGATCCAGAAAGTTGAGTCAGTCGAGTATTTGGATGAAAAGGAAGAGAAAACCTAATTGAGTTCGATTGAGTGACTGACTACGTAACTTGAACTTGAACTTGAACAACGACTACACTTCACTTCACTTCAACTCTTCAGAACAACAACAACAACAAGAACCATCTCTTTAGTTAGTTATTAAAACAAATCATCAATCGATCTAGTATCAGTCGATCGCAGAGAAAGACTAAACGAAAAATCAATCAAACGAACTTTTGAAATCTAATCTATCCATTCGTCATCTCACAACTTAATCAGTACTTCTTTACATAATCGATTCATTTTAACCTCAATCTTAAATCTGATCTCAACTCCGATCTGATCCTAAACCAAAGAACTTCCCTTATTGATCTCAAGCAGTATCATCATCCAGATTCATTCACTCAAATCAAACTTCATTCACAAATCGAAATGTCTAACATGACAAGCTCAACTGGTCCAGCGGGATCATCAGGCAGTACATCAAACTCTTCTCTACAACAGAATGATGATAAGAATTCAGTAGTCATCAAAGTTTGTCCTTCTTTTCTATCTCTTTCTTCAAAGAATCCTTCCTTGGTCGGATCCTAAAGTCTGCTTACTTGATTAATAGGTCGGAATGGTAGGAGACTCACAGATTGGGAAAACTAGTTTAATGGTTAAATATGTCGAAGGTAGTTTTGATGAAGATTATATTCAAACCCTGGGTTAGCTTCTTCTCACCTTTTTATAACGTCTTGATCATCACTTAATCTGACTGTTTCCTTTTTCTGAACGATCGGATTTTCTCTCGGTTTTTTCATCATCTCTTCTCGATCTTAACAGGAGTCAATTTTATGGAAAAGACAATTTCAATTCGAAACACAGAAATCACATTCTCAATTTGGGATTTAGGTGGTCAACGAGAGTTTGTGAATATGTTACCATTGGTGTGTAATGATGCAGTAGCGATCTTGTTTATGTTTGACCTCTCGAGGAAATCTACTCTCAACTCAATCAAAGAATGGTATCGTCAAGCTCGTGGGTTTAATAAGGTGAGTGATCTTGAAAGGCTTTATCGATCGATCGATTCGATCTTCTCATCAGCTTCAATTCTTTTTCGCGTCTCTTTCTACAATCAAATCGAATTAATCTCAATCAAAGACAGCGATTCCGTTTCTGATTGGTACCAAATATGATCATTTCGCTGCATTCTCAAAAGACGAACAGGAGGAAATCACACGTCAGGTCTGTTGACCATCTTTGTTTTTCTTTTCCTTCTTGACTTGCATCCTGATCGTTTTATTCTTCATCACATTCATAGTCGAGGAGGTTTGCGAAAGCGATGAGGGCACCATTGATCTTCTGCTCTACATCCCATTCTATCAACGTTCAGAAGATCTTCAAGATTGTGCTTTCTAAAGCTTTTGATCTAAAGGTTTCTTATTTCCTTCTACTCTTTTTCTCTCTTCATCAAAACACTGATTTCTTCTTTCGTTTTGTCCCTTTCAGTGCACAATACCCGAAATCAATGGAAGTGGAGAACCACTACTGATCTATCTCGACGTCTGATCTCTTTGCAATCCTATCTTTATCTTTCTTGCAATGTGTGTGTGTGTGTGTGTGTGTGTGTGTGTGTGCGTTGGTTGAAATGGTAGTACTAGTACTAGTATGCAAGTCATTCATTCTTTCCATTTTTTTCTTCTTCCTCTCTTTATCTCTTTTTTTCATTTCTTTTTTGTTTCTTTTTTCGAAAAATTTTGCATTTAATAAAACAATAGAAAAATCAAAAAAGAAAACCAAATTTGATATATATAAAAAAAATTGGCTTATAATTTTTTTTTTTCAATTTTTTTTTATTCATATGCTTTTTTAAAGTTTTTTTTTTCTTTTTTTCTTTAAAGTGTGTGATTTTATGAAAAAAAAAACTTTACTTTCTTTTTACTTTTTTTTTGCTTCTTTTTTGTTAGATTTTATGTATAGATCTTCTGATCTTGAAGGTCTTTATATAATCCTTCATTCATTTTTTGGTTTTTTGGTGATATTGATGGTCAATTAGTGATGATTGCTTTTTGTTGTTTTCTTTTCATTTTTTTTATTTGAATTGTGTAGTGTGTTGTATAGATCAAATTTTGAAAAATTGGGTACAAAAAAAAGAGTTGAATTGATTCAGTGTTTTTTTTTCAAAATTCATGATTAAGTTTTAAATTTTTGTATCAAACAAAACAAAAAAACCAAATTACCTTTTATTTTGGTTTTGATCATGAGTTGAAAGAAGGGATTCTATTTAAGAAGAGTAGGTGATATTTTAATAATCACTCATCTGATTGTTATTTCAACTTGATTGCTAGTACATAGTGTTATATTTAGGTATCTTATTTATCTTATCAAGAGACTATCTTCTTGAACTCCAGAATTGTTGATTGCTTTATATATCTAGTATAGTATAGTCTCTATAAGTCACAGACAGGAACAGGAACAGCAACAGACCAGAATGAAAATGGTAGAAGGATGGGAGAATGGTTAGCAAACTGGAGGGTGTTTGAATTGATCAAACAGAATTATCAACATTGAGCTTACATAAGCTTCCTTGTAGCCTGCTTCCCTGCCAAAGCTACCAATGCTTTTTTTAATTGAGAACGAGAGGCCATCGGGAGAACCCTGACAGTCAGGCCTTTCAACCACCTGTCCCTTAGCCGTGAAAGCCAGCACAGATCTTCCACGTGACCTTTCAGCCACGCCACATCCCGGTAGAAAGGTCGCCGAGGTGTAACAAAAAATAAAATTCATATACAGTCAAACCCCTCTAAAGCAGTACCCCTCTAAAGCCTTAACCCGTCTATAGTGATGGTTTTTTGGTTCTCCCAAGTTGAGAGGGGCCAAAATGTGTGAAAAACCCATAGTTCCGTCTAACCCCTTAACCCATACCCAGAATCCAAAAAAAAATCAATCTTTTTAATGTAAAGCCATAGAAAAATGGCTAATAGGGAGGTAGGAAAGGGGATACCTCCAACAGCTTCTGAAGCTTTGAAGGCAGTATCTTTGCTTACACAATTCATTGAAAGTACTGATATGCCCAAAGCAACAGCTGTTGACGCCCTTCTCCCTGCTCTTGAAAGCGCATTGACCAGCAAGACCTATTTTGCCAACAAAATTCAGCCCTCCATCACTTTCTCCTTTAGTAGAAATTAAACAAATCTTGTGATGTAGTTACAATTTTAAATGTATTCTTCTCACAAAAAATTAACACAGCAGATACTGAAATATTTGATAGCAAGTTAGACTTTTTCAACAACAAGACCCGTATAAAGTCCTATTTTCTATGGCTGTACACGGACCACCCTCTAAAGCCATGTTTCCATGTCTTTAGAGGGATATGTTCTATGGTTGTGGAATGCCCACCCTCTAAAGCCATGGTTTTTATAAATTTAGAGGGTTTTCAATGTAAAGCCATGGATGTATGTCTATAGAGGGGTTCCTCAACAAAGACATGTCCCCTCTATACCCATAGGTTTCCCCGTCTCCCAAAGGGTATGGCTTTAGAGGGGTTTGACTGTATATTCAAGTTTTTTCTTTACGAATCGTTTCTGTTTACTTATACAACATCTTCTTGATCTTGGAGCTCCAAGTTGACCAATAGTGATGATGAGGAAGAAGAAGAAGCAGAGAATCCAAGATCTAATCCTCAAACATCGCACGAGCTTTCTATGAGTCATATATGCGTCAAGTTGATCAACCGGCTCGACTTTTGAAGTCGCGTTACAAATACGTGACGATTTAGTAGAATCATTAATCGAAAGATCAAATCATGAAGTGTTTGAAAACAAATTACCCACTGAACTTGATTTGATTTGGAGTAATAGATTGAATACTACTGCAGGTAAAGCTAAATGGAGTGTGTTTAGAGATTATGTCAAGGTCAAGTTATCTCACCATTATATCCCTGATAAAGTGAAAGTACTTTGGAAGTTGTCGAAAAAAAGTTTACAAATACCCTCATACTACGTTCACAGGGGCAAAAATTGATGCTCACAACTATGTGAGCGTTGAAATTTTCCTGATTTGTTCCCATTTGTTTCCCTTTTCTTTCTGCTTGTCAGCTCATTATGTGATCAACAGAAACTGAGGAGATGAGTCAGGCCTCCCTCAGGCAAAATTCCTTAGCAAAGAAGCTTGAGGGCGGGCTGGCCCATCTGCTCACTTCATCTAAGCCCCTCAGCTCATCCTCAGCGGCATCCCTTGACACCTGCTGATTGGGGGGACACCTGTGGCTGGCTGGGCTATTGTCAAGCTAGCCCCGTGTTGGGTTTTACAACACCAACCCAAACTGTTTTGGGAACAAGGGCAACTGGGTCATCCCCGACAGTGCTGACTGTCAGCTGACAGCAATCACTTTCACATCCCTTTTGCAGACCTTACAAACCTGTGATATCCTTGCAAGTTTTACACACTCCTTTCTTGTGCATCACACCATTGTCATATTTCTTGGATGCACCAGTAATCACAAGAGACTCAATCAACCTTCAATTATCAATCGTTAGAACTTGATTTAACTAATCTACAAACTTCAACTTATTTTGAACTCATCAGTTTATTGATCTCTTTAATCTTGATCAATTTATTAATCTTTCGGATCTCATTTTGATTCTCTTCTTTGAACTTTCCTTCTACTACTGATCCTTCAAAAATCAAACAAAATTCAACATTAAAATTAATCAAATTACAAAACAAATCATGGCTTCACTGTTGACTTTAATTAAATCGTCTATTTGATTATCACACATGTCAAGAAATCTTCATTTTTTACAGTCAAAGCTTTGGCGACTTCATTGGCAGATACCTTGCTCTCGCTTTGACAGCCTACCTCTACATCAGTAGACCAAACTAACACACAAACGATCAAAAAAGTAACCGTCCGGATAGAAAAGCCTTCAGTGATTGCATTTGGGGAAACATACACGCTCATCAACTGAAAAATTGACTGCAGGAAGGAACATCACAGGAGCCAACTATGGCTCAGCTTCAAATCTTCAAATCAGTTCTCGTTCATCATCGCCTTCACATCAACTTGATGAATTAGATCATGTAGTTTATATTGGCTTAGGCTCAAATATGGGAAATCGACTTGAAAATATTTCTTCAGCTTTAGATCGACTTTGTCAACCAATAGAATTAGGAGGTGCAAATGCTAAATTATTGGATACAAGTTTTATGTATGAAAGTGAACCAATGTATGTTGTGAATCAATCTCAATTCCTCAACACCGCTTGTAAGGTAGATGATTACCTATCCAAAAAATCCTCTTCCATTCAGTAGTCTGACAACAAAGTTTTCTTTACTTCTTATAGATTTCAACACCGTTAGACCCTTTTGATCTTCTTAATGTGCTGAAATCTATCAAAAAGAGCTATGGAAGAGATCTTGATACAAGTCAAAGTAACGGACCACAACCTATCGATATTGATATTTTAATGTTTGATTCACAACTCACCAACAAAGATCATTTAAAGATACCCCATATTGGGATGTCAAGTTGACAATTTGTTTTAGAACCATTAAACGAGTAAGGTTTGATTCTTTCTCAAGTCTAGTCTATTCCAGGCTCAAATTGTTTTTCTTCACACTTTGTAGTATTGCAGCTCATGTACTACATCCACAACATTGTGTCACTATTGGTTCTCTTCTATCACGTCTTACAAAATCAGAACCATCAACAGTAACCCAAATCCCATTCCGGAAATTCATCAAAATGTCCTACTCTCGAGCTTTCAAAATGGACACATCTAATGTCTATCTTAAATTGTACACCTGATTCATTCTCAGATAGTGGTTCATCTTTGAACCATCTGATGTGATTCAAAAATCTCTAAATCAAATCAAGAATGGTACAGATATAATTGATATTGGTGGAATGTCTACTAGACCTGGTGCAGATGAAGTCACAACTAAAGAAGAAATTTGTAGAACTGTTCCGGTGATTCAAGCTCTAAGAGAAACTCATGATGTAAAATGTCATATTAGTATTGATACTTTCAAGTCAGATGTTGCTAGAGCTGCTGCTGGGGCAACAATAGTAAATGATGTATCAGGTGGTCAAGCAGATCCAAATATGTTAACAACAGTAGCTAAACTAGGAGTACTTATCGTCCTAACGCACATGCGTAGTGATCCAAAAACAATGACTAGTCTGATTGATTATTTTTTTTCTTCTTCTCTTGTATAGAATTTGGTCACTACAATAATGTTTTTTTGTAGTGAAAACTTGTAATTCTTGCAAAGATAAGATCAAAGTTTTTGGTGCAAATTGAATTTGTATAAAGGTGTTATTTTACTGTTTGTTTGATGGTAAAGATTCTATGATTGTTGGATACCTCATGTTCAGATTGAAACCTTCAATTTTTGGATGTCAACTTCCTCTTGTCTTTTGGAATTAGTGAGACAAGTAGGTGAGCCCAAGGGATCAGAAGACTTTAAAATTCTTCTGTATGATTTTTTTTGTTCAAAGGATGCAAATTGACTGGATCTACAAGTTCAACTGGTTCTGGGAATATTTGAATCACACTGTTGTTCTTTTCAATTATTCACTTTAGAAGCGTATTTATAACAAGTATTGATTTTTTCTATAGGAACGAACATAGGAACCAAATTATAAACTCTCTTTCATATTGGTCATTGAGGTTATATTTTTACATCAGAGTCAAATTCTGTTTAGATTTAAATATTTCAGTGATCAAAGTAATCAAAACCGAGTTAAAAATTTGATATTTTATGAAAGCTCTGTACAAGGATGATCCTAGAAAACCAAAGGATCATTGTTCTTTGAGTAACCACTCAACATGTAATGGATCTAGGAATTATTGAAAAGAGTATAATTGCAAGTTCTGATCGATTCAAGAATGAGATGATGATGTTGTTGTAGTATTGAAATTAGGTTTAGTATAATCTTTGAATAGATTGGATTGATATTGATGAGATTCATCAGCATGAATTGATGATCTTTCTAATCTTCTATCTCTTGTTTTATTTTTTGGTAACATTCCTGAAACTGCTTTTCTTAAAATCTTTAAAACAAAAAACAAAAAAAAAGTTTATTAAAGGTTTAGTTAAAAATTGATTGGGAAATGGGAAAAAAGAAGAAACAAACCATGGGTGGATTTTGTTCTAATAGTTTTGAATATGGTGTTTCTTTTAATGCTCCTGGATATTGACTATGAGAATAATGAATCTTTTGGGCTTCTTTTTTTCCTGTGACTTTAATTAATCTAGCATTTGTAACAACAACATAATCACCTATATCAACTTCCAAAGGAAAAAAAACAATTATTACTCATCAGCTTATTCATAAAGTGATCGTTATAGTTCTTATTAATCAATTAAAAATTCATACTTCTAGGATCAAAGAATGCTTTATATTTTCCCATTAATTTATTGGCAATTTGTGTTGCTAATCTTCCTAAGATTTGATCTTCTGCATCTACTTGTCTCCAAACTCTTGCAAAACCAAGTGCGATCTAATATATATACAGAGAAGAAAAGGGAAAAATCATCCTTTTTATGTTATTGTTGATCGGCTGAAGAGAAGGTTTGGGAACTAACGTTAGAAACTGAATAGGTCATTGGTCGTTGAGGTTACACTGCCAGGATTAAACACTGTCCTAATTGGGATAATGTGTTGCTTTTTGGGGATAATTAATTTTGGCCATATAAATGCTAAGCAATTAGTGCAAAAGTGATCATTATTCCATTAGGGACAGTGTTTAATCCTGGCAGTGTTAGGAACTTCACCAATCCGTTGGTCTTGAGCAGTTGTGATGAATTGGAGAATGTGAGTGTTGAGTTCAAGGTGTAAATCTAGAAGAGTCAAAAGTAAAGAAAGAGGGCATTTAACAAAAAGCTTGAGCAGGACCATAACCAGTACAAGCTAAAAATGTACAAGGATGATCAGAAGGTAAAGATTCAGGAGGAACGCAAGTAATTAAATATTTAGAAGGAGAGATTGAAGAAGGAAGATGGCGAGAGTTAATTGGAGAAGGAGAAGAAGGCAAGATTGAAGTAAGATTTGAAGACTAAGGTAAAGAATCAAGACTTGGACAATGAAGATATCAAACTCAACCCGTCAAAAAACCGGTCTATGCTAAAAACCCCGCGGAATTTGAGCCGGGTTCTGGTCGTGATTCTTTGGTACCCCGCAAACCAAATTTCAACAAAAGCAGGGTAAATTTGTGGTGTAGTGCTGACATGTATTGGGAAGGGTGGTGAAAAAAAAGAGTTTGTTTCCATCTTGGAGAGGTTCTGAGCGGTTCTGAGTATGCCTCATGAGCAAATCCTGAATATTCATCTCGGAGACTGAGCCCAAAGCACAGGGGCAAAAATTAATGCTCACAACTATGTGAGCATTGAAATTTTCCTGTTTTGTTCCCATTTGTTTCCCATTTGTTTCCAATTTGTTTCCCATTTGTTTCCCATTTGTTTCCCATTTGTTCCCTTTTCTTTCTGTTTGTCAGCTGATTACGTGATCATCAGGAACTGAGCAGACAAACTAAGCCTTCCTCAGCATTTATTCCTGAGCAAAGAATCCTGAGGAAGGGCTGATCCATCTGCTCAGCTGATCCTGAGCGGCATTCCCTGGTTCAGTAAGCTCCAAGGGATGCCACCAATGTATAGCTTAGGGGCTGAGCTGAACTGAGTATTCCCTTACCTAAGTCTCTGAAGTATCCCCCAGATGGATCACAGAGCGCCAAGCTTGCCTCAAGCTTGATGGCTCGGGAATGAAGCCTGAGGCTCGTCTGCTTGTTCAACTGAGCTGCTCAGTTATTCCTCAGGGGCATCCCTGAGATCAGGAGGATCCGGAGGATTTCACTGCTCATTGGATGAGGGGCTGCTCAGTTATTCCTCAGGGGCATCCCTGAGATCAGGAGGATCCGGAGGATTTCACTGCTCATTGGATGAGGGGCTGCTCAGTTATTCCTCAGGGGCATCCCTGAGATCAGGAGGATCCGGAGGATTTCACTGCTCATTGGATGAGGGCCTGCTCAGCTAGTCCTCAGGGGCATTCCTGGCCGGATCAGAAGGATCCAAAGGATGTCACTGAGTATTGGCTGAGGGGCTGCTCAGTTGATCTCAGCCCCTCAGTGTGAAAAACTTTATCCAGGGATATCACTGAGGATTAGCTGAGCAATGAGCAGATGGGATGACGCTTTTATCAGGCTTCATTCCTTAGCAAGGAAGTCTGAGAAAAGTCCGGCCCATCAGTGATCCAGTCAGGGGATGCTACTGAGTATTTGCTGAGCAGCTCAAATGGGACGCCCCTGGGCAGGCTTCTTCACTGAAAAATGAAGCCTCAGGAAGGTATAGTTCATGTGCTCATCTTCATTTTGAACAAATTGCTGAGTATTCAGTGCCTCATGAGCTGATCCTGAGTACTCATTGGGAATCAGTTATTGCTCATCCAAGATGGAAATGAGCCTTCTCAATAAATGTCAAGTAAAATATGACAACCACAGGATGATCACCTGAACACAAACAAGATTGTGAATTGAATCAATCTGAAAGAAAATGAATCTTTTTTGCAGAATTCCAAAAAGTCTACAACGCTCACATGTATGTGAGTATCTATTTTGGCCCCTGTGAAGAATGCTCATCCAAGAAGAAAATGAGAATTCTCCAGCAACACCAAGAAAAATCTGAGCAAAACAGCCTGATTGCCTGAACACTACCAAACTCATGAATTGAATGATTCTGAAACAAAATGAATCTTTTTTGGAGTTTTCAGGAAAGTCTACAACACTCACATAGTTGTGAGCATTGATTTTGGCCCCTGTGAATCCTGCTCGTCAAAGGTATATTCATCAGGCTCTGCTCTATATTGCTTGGCTTCCTTAACCAGTTGAGAGTCTTCAGCATCTAAGAATTCTAGAGTCTATTGTTCCCCTTGTTGCATTCTGAGCCTCTGACCAGACCAAAGAGAGCGGTCAAGTTTTTGAAGCTGGAGCTGGATGGTACGGAAAGCTACGTTGGGAAAGAACTCGAGGCGCAGTCTTCGAAGCGGATGACACTTTTACTCCGTCCGCAGTATGTCTCCTTCTCAGCATCGGACTACGATCCCCGATTGTTGAGCACACGCCTGATGATATTATTTGTATCATGGTTCTATTATAGATTATGGCTCGGTTTGACGAGATCAACAATTTTGATCAGGCTGAGCATCCAGAAGACATCACAGACGCCCATTTTTTAGACTATTTGGAGCAAGGAAAGCAACTTTCTACCAATCCACAGTCGTCAAAGCCGCTCACTTACCGTGGAAAGACTGTGATGGTCACTGGCGCTGGCAACGGGGTGAGTAATTCTTGATATTAAACCAATGCATTACCATTTTTCTCATATCCATTCCGCTTCCAATACCTGAGGATAGCTAGGAACAGCCTATGCTTTGATGTATGGCAAGCTTGGTGCGAACGTCGTGGTGAACGATATGAACTCGGAAGCCGCGAGTAAAGTGGTGGATGAAATCAAACATCTCGGTGCTAAGGCAGTTGCCAATACTTCATCCGTTGAGGATGAACAGAAGGTCGTGAAGGCTGCTTTGGACAACTTTGGAAGCCTACATGTTATCGTTAACAACGCTGGTATACTGAGTGACAAGAGCTTTATCTCGATGACCAACGCTGAATGGGATATTATTCAGAAGGTTCATCTCAGGTGAACTTATAGCGTTTGTCATGCTGCGTGGCCAATCTTCATGAAACAAAAGTTCGGTAGGATACTCAACACTACTAGCGCTGTAGGTCTGTATCAAAACTTTGGTCAGGTATGTAAAACAAGTCTACTTAGGTGACAAAGATGAGTCCACCTGATGATCATCTCTGGTTCCCGATTGGATGTCCGATACACAATAGGCTAACTATAGTACGGCAAAGGCAGGCATTCTGGGCTTAACTAAGACTCTGGCAATCGAAGGCAAGAAGTATAACATATTCTGCAATACTATTGCTCCAAACGCCGGAACTGCGATGACGGCTACCATGTGGCCTGAAGAGCGAGTTCAAGCGTTTAAGCCCGACTTTGTCGCACCGCTGGTCGGCTATCTGACCAGTGAAACGAATGAAGAAACTAGTGGTCAGCTGTACGAAGCTAGCGGCGGTTGGTGTGCAGCTATTAGGTGGCAAAGATCATATGGGCTTTCAGTGAGGCATCTCTTCATTCTTGTCTCAAAACGGCTTTTAGTTCCACATATAGAAAAGAACTCGTGTCAACTTCATTGTAACAGAAAACAATCGTAATACAATTGTAACAAGAAAAGAGTGAAACCATTAAGCCACAGAATTCACGTTGTCCAGCTCCTCAGACAAGCGTGAAACTCTTCGTCTCTGCAGGTAAATATTGGTCAAAAAGCCTCCCAGCTGGGGGTTCTCATCAGCAAAATACGGAGAAAAACAAAAAAGAGTGACCAACATACCAGTTGTGTTGGAAATGATGATGATATCATCAAAGTATTTCTCCAAGGGTTATGAAAAACCATATCACCCCATACTATTCTTGTCGCCATTTGGCCACCCACCTCCAGGACAGGATTGAATACCAGGCTGCGGTAGTTGAAAAGCAAGACAGATCCCATTTCACTACAAAAGATTTAAAACAGCTGATCAGAAGGAGACGAGAATAAATAAGATACTTACTGAAGGTGACTTACAAAGTTATATTGAAAGTGATGGAAGCACGCAATCCATTTTCATGGTTTGAAGTTGCTGATTGTAATGCTCCTATAATGAAGCCTACAGCTGCTTCAATTCCCACGACACTAATGGAATAAGGTCAGCTTTTTGGGATGACTCAAAAAAAATCAGGGATCTTACATATATATTGATGAGGATTCATCCAGCAGGGTGGCACATATCCCCGCAGGACCTTGGGCAAATGACGTGAAGTCCTCTTCCTTTTGGGATTGGGAACTGAATATTAAAGGATTCCTCCATCTACAGCAAAGATACAAGAGTTGAATGGCGGTGAATGCCCCAACTAATTGAGATATAAAATGAATAATGATACAGCATTTTGGTATACGCCCTGAAAACTGCAAAATTACTGTGATTAGCTGATTTCAAAACAGTATCAATGCTGGAGATGACTTACAATGGCTAGCAGCGTAGTCCCAAAGTCTAGATATACCTCAGTACCAAGGAACCTAGCAAGATATCATGTGAAATAAATTGCTAGTCTAATGACTTTATGATAATAATCAGTCCCAGTTGATAATAGCGTATTGAATGAGCTTACTCAGTGGCAGCAGCAATAAGAATTGATTCATGTTGAAATCCTTTGATGTCCGTTGAACTTAGTACTGGGGAAGAAGCATGAGTTTAAAAAATTAAGAACAGAGAAAACAAGATATGAACGTACAAGCAAAAGGAATTCGACTTATGGTGACAAGAAAGAATGTGCATAAGAACTCAGCGTAGCCATGATCAAAAAGTGTCATGAAAACACTTTGTACAATTTGACTATAGGTAGCAACACCAGCAAGAAAAGATGATGACATTACGACTTTATTGGTAGAGGGTATAGAGATGATGCAATGAATGAATGAGGATAGAAGATGCAACGAGAGACAAAACGACTTCTTTAAGAGCAGTGGTGGTCTTGTTAGATCAATCAGGAGCCACTCACTGCTCTTAGTTGGGATCAATAGCGCAATTCAACTCGAGAAGTGCAAACGTCCTGACGCAGAGCCCCGATCGTGTTTTTTAAGGTGGTTGGATTGCGGTTGCCTGAACGGTCTTAAAATTGGTATTTATGACCTTGTAAAATAAGGCACAACGCTTATTCCCCTTTTGCAATCTAATATCCATTTTTGAAGTTTTTTTTTTTCATTTGTTTTTTATTAATAATAAGACGTCTGAAAACACCATGTAAATGGCTTGGAGGATGTTCTAATCTTGGAGACTTTTCCCAGCGTGGCATCTGCTGAGATGAAGTGAGGCGAATGATTATTGTGTTGGTAGGTAAATGATCAACGACAATGTGTCACTTAACTTACACAAGACCATGCAAAAAAGGGCATGCTTATGTAATCAGGACCTTGGCGTAGCAGTCTTGCAATTGAGGACTATGAGCTGGAGCTTGATCACCCAGCCCGCCTTTTTTAGTACTGGAGGGAAATGAGATTCTAAACGGAGAATGCAGGTGTTTACGTGCCTGTTGCTTGAGAATGCGATTGGAATCTATGGAACCAATACACATTCTTTTGAGTCAGACAAGAATGATATTGTCGTTTCGTTCCTTTCTTGCCATCTTTCTTGTTTTGAATATATATCGCACCAAGAATCGTTTTACCCCCGTATCAATCCTCACATTGTTCCATTTTTTCCACTCGACTCACTTGCCCTTCTCTTTACAACTCACATCTTATCAATCTTATTCTGCGATCGTCAATCTTTCATCATGTATTTAGAGAAGAATTCAGAAAGCATTCCTCACACACTTCCCGTCATCGCCCTAGAGGACAATCAGCACATCCACAAACAGCCAACGCATCTGACGAGCAGCATTTCCGAGTTCATTGGTGTTTTCATCTTTGTTGTGTGTGCTGAAACCATAAAGCTTTGTATGTGGCCAGCTCATATTTATTGGCGTTCAATCGATATGTTTGAATATCCAGCTGACTGATCTTTCATTCAGCATACCTCATGTCTGGGGACCATGCTTGGCCTCGTAATGTACACCCCCATCGATCCTTACAGGTTTAACTCATGTTTCTGATGCTAACGTTCTTCTATCCGCACCCACTTCCGTCTTGCTCGTCTCTTAATTCAGTTGGCGATAATTTACTTGTAAGTCCTACTCACTACTTCAGACCAAGAACCCGCACAGAGACTGACGCACTTCCTCGTCATTCTCAAAGCTGTCCCCTTATCTTGGTTTTTGTATATGCGCTTTTCATCCCTTGCCCTCGCCTCATGAATGTTCATCTGAACCCTGGACTTACTCTGAGCCTCACTGTACGGCCTTTTCCACTACGCTTTGGCTCTTCATGATAACTAATACACAGCATTGTAGATTTTTGGTAAATTCCCAGTGAAGGATTTATTTCCTTATCTTCTTGCACAGCTCCTCGGTGCAACATTTGGTGCTCTATGTGTACATGGTGGCTACCATCTATATACTGGCGTGATCTTGACTCAACTTTCAACTGCCAATGCCACCTTTGTTACTGTTTCAACCCTATGGTCCGTAGGCAGTACTGCTGGACCCGAACACAAACTATCTCATCGCCCCCCTGGTTTGTATTGTTCTTCTCAAACTAAGCTACCCAGTTGTTCAATCTACTTTTAACAATTTGACGCTAATGATGATGTGACCTTTTCAACAGTCTTATGACCTTCACTATTGAATGGCTATTTGCAATGTTGGCAAGTATGTTTATTCACTTAGATGTAGCTCAGTCAAAAGGCAAAATGTTTCTTGGTGGACCAGGGTGTTTACGTTGGTTGTAAGTGTTTCTTTTCCCCCTGGTTTTGGTGGTACAGATGATGTATAACTTTTTTACAACAGATATACTTTAGGAGTGTGATGTATTTTATGTCGGTCGTCTACTTCTTTGAAGCCCGACTAGTTATCAACACTGCGTACGGAATGGGAGTGTAAGTCAAAATTTGATCATTTGCAAAGCTCGACCAAGCTGATCACTTGTGATTTTAGTCAGATCGCCTCTTGGATTCTGCAGGTCAAACCACTTGCCCTTCAGTGGTCATGTGCAGCGACCACTTTTGTCAGCTTACCAGCATTCATGGTAAGATATTTAATTTTCTCCTTTGGTTTTTGTGACCGTGTTGACCCTCTCAACCTTTGTCTTCTTTCTTAGGCTGGCGGTGCACTTTACAAGCTTCGCCATCCTGAGAAAATATCAAGGGCAGACTCAACAGAAAAGTGCATGGAGCCACTTGGGAGCGCTGAGCTTGTTTGATACATCTGCATCACGGTGTTGGATTGTCACCTTGCCCATACATTTGATTTACAAACAACTGATCATATCTCACATGATTCAATTTTGTAAAACATATTTATGTATAATGTTAACAACATTTCCTTTCATTGCATCACATGATGTTCATAGCAGTGTCCATCACTAAAGAGAAACCTCCGCTAGCTACCGCCAAGGCAAAATTTCGCGATTCTTTATTGCAATCCTCTATGCTTAGCCCTGCCTTCAAAGTGAGGCTGTTTCACTAGCGCGGCCGATCCTTTAAACCTCATTCAAAACAGTTACAATAGCTCATGTCATGACGAGAATAGCTCACGGTGTTAGTAAGTCAATCCGCAGAGGTATCAAAAGAAGTCTCAACACTAAGCGATTTGTGTCTAAGACACTGCTTGTTCTGCTCCCATTTTGAGGATTGCAAGCTGGATTACGGCGTCTGTGATTGTGTTATGTGCTCCCAAAGAAACGTATACACATTAGAGACCTCATTCAAGAACTAGTGAGGGTGATAGAGAGTCCATAAGATTATTACTACCTGAAGGTAGCATATTGTCGACTAGACAACTTCCTAAAGCGCAGCCCAAGTTGCTGCCGGATCGACCTCACTGGGAAGATGACCAACCCAGAGCGTATGGTTTCTTACATAAAATATGAATTCTGGTTCTGTCAAAAAAAGAACAATCAAAATCAACATACATGCGCCAATGTGACTGCCCAACTCCTGATAGTAATTTTACTAGCGATTGGGCGCCCAGCCGCCGCGCTACTCTTATCTCAATACTGTTTTTGACTCACTACCAATTGGAACTGTGCAATCAGGCAATGCAAATAGTTTATCAATTGCCATGTGATTGTAGAGCATCACATCATTATCCATCATAATCTTTTTTACATTATCCATGCCTGTGCCTAATGTTACACATTAGGGGGGCTCAGGTCAAAAAATTTTACCACTTTTATCATAAAAAACTTTTCCCAATTGCGTAAATTTTTTTTTTTAGGCAAATTTGCGTAAATCAGTGCTCAGAAGGAGATCTGAAAGAAATTTTTACGGTCCTTTTTTACAAATTGGGAAAAGTTTTTACAGCACGGTACCGTAAAAAACTTTCCCCAATTTTTTACGAAAAGGCCGTAAAAATTCTGACTTGGGCCCCCTTATTAACATCCATTTTGCATTAACCAAGGCACTGTATCACTGTGTAGTATATGTTACGTAAATTAATGTTTACCCTGGAATTGTGTTGGTCTGCAGCTTATATACAAGAATTGTCTTGAGGCAAAGTCTGATTGCCTATGATAAAGACCTGAGGATGAGAAAACCGGGCTTCTATGTCTTCTTTGCTGAGGCAACCCAAGTGGCTAATAATCTGGATGCACTCCTGCATCCATTTGTAGCAGTTTCAGTCATGATAGTAGTCCCATCTATATCTCCTGAATGGGCACAGTTTCCTTTTCCCTCTTTGTTGTTAGCATTGTCTGCCATTAGACCTATGAACCCATTGACATACTGTAGACATAAACATCAGTTCCCAACACACTTGTCCAATTGGTTGACAATTTTGCCTTCTGTTTCTTTGATATTTGTCCCAGTTCAGTGCTTTCAGTGGCAATTGACATAATTTTGGGGATGAGGCAACATCAATCCTAGTAACTCAGCTAACTGAAGGCTTGGGTAGAGATTGCTTACAATAGGGCAGTTCAAGTTTGACAAAGCCCTAAAACAGAACTGTGCCTACAGCAAGATGCTGCTTATAAATTTTTAAAGTCGGAAAAACTCTGAGAAAGCCCTACCTGAGGAGCACATACTTGTGCCAACCAAAGTTGAAAGTCTACAATTTTACAGCGCATTGAGGCTAAAAGACTTATAATTTTACAACATTTTGGGTTAACTTGAACTGCCCTAATAGGCCTGCTTATAGATTTGCAAATTGTAAATTATCTCTTTTCTTATTCCGTTGATATCTGGTCACCTTGATGGTAATATAGTGTGTTGAACTTCACAATGCAAACCAAAAAAATCCATTTGATCTTATTCAACTTGTCAGACCTAAAACTACATAATCAGGGATAGGCATCATTTTAAGATTCACAAGTTGAGTGACAATCATTTTTATTTCATTTGGGGTTGATCAAAATTGAACAGTCTATATATATTTCTCTTTTGTTATCACATTGTTTTTTATGCTACATTTAATTTTTGATTCTATTGTTTAGCAAGATCCTATGAAACACATTTTATAGATCCTGTTGAAAAAGAGCTACACACAATTCCACCCACTGCAGATTTGGGTTTCTTAAACCAACAAAATTGTATAACCTAGAAAAAAACAATTTCATATTGTAGTCCTTTTCTTAAAATACTAATCCAACAATCTTGATTCATTGGTTCATTGAGACAAAATAGACTCTCTAGAAGCATAAGGCAAACATCTAAATTCAAGCCTGAATCTAGTTGTTTGATTCAACACATTTTGATTTTGATGTGAATTTGAATTTCCTCCTGTTTCTTCTGAATTTGAAAAAACTCTCAATCTGATGAATTGGGATTTCGAGTCTTAACAAAGCTTCTGTTGAACTATGTTTCGAACATGAGAGGTAAAGATCTGAAGTCAGACGTGATCATAAACACGCATAAGAGTCACAAAGTCAGGAAGAAATTTCAAAAACTTACAGCCCTTTGCATGATTGATGACTTTGAAGAAGAAAAAACCTCGAGTTTTCAACAAAAAAACCTTGAGTTTTTTTAAAAAGTGACTGAGTTTTTTCAAAAAACTACTGAGTTTTTGAAAAAGTCAATGAGTTTTTCTTGAAATTTTCAAATGTCAATGAGTTTTTGAAAAATTCAGTAGGTTTTCAAAAAAACTCGGTCACTTTTTGAAGAAACTCGAGGTTTTTTTTTCTCCAAAGTCATCAATCATGCAAAGGGCTGTACATTCAGCAAACACATTGAAACATTCTAGCCACATGTTGTGATGTTAAATGTTGTGCTACTTCTGAATTAGGACCGGATTTTGACGCAGGTGGTCACTTTTCAGCATGCAACAACACCTTGCCTCCTCTAATGCAATCTAAGATGATTATTTTTGTTGAGAGAATGATGAATAAGGTCTAGTAAATTTTGTTCATGAAAATGAACTTGTTTTCCAAGGAAATGTTGTTAACATTATACATAAATATGTTCTACAAAATTGAATCATGTGAGATATGATCAGTTGTTTGTAAATCAAATGTATGGGCAAGGTGACAATCCAACACCGTGATGCAGATGTATCAAACAAGCTCAGCGCTCCCAAGTGGCTCCATGCACTTTTCTGTTGAGTCTGCCCTTGATATTTTCTCAGGATGGCGAAGCTTGTAAAGTGCACCGCCAGCCTAAGAAAGAATACAAAGGTTGAGAGGGTCAACACGGTCACAAAAACCAAAGGAGAAAATTAAATATCTTACCATGAATGCTGGTAAGCTGACAAAAGTGGTCGCTGCACATGACCACTGAAGGGCAAGTGGTTTGACCTGCAGAATCCAAGAGGCGATCTGACTAAAATCACAAGTGATCAGCTTGGTCGAGCTTTGCAAATGATCAAATTTTGACTTACACTCCCATTCCGTACGCAGTGTTGATAACTAGTCGGGCTTCAAAGAAGTAGACGACCGACATAAAATACATCACACTCCTAAAGTATATCCGTTGTAAAAAAGTTATACATCATCTGTACCACCAAAACCAGGGGGAAAAGAAACACTTACAACCAACGTAAACACCCTGGTCCACCAAGAAACATTTTGCCTTTTGACTGAGCTACATCTAAGTGAATAAACATACTTGCCAACCTTCACTACAAGAAAGATAATATTTTCTGGGCAGAAAATTAAATTATTGATACACAAAAATATTGAGAGGCCAGGAGGAGAGCAAAAAATGAATAAAAATATGCATCTTGTTCCCTGCGTTGAGAACTTCACTCTGCATATTTTTCCGTATTTTTACAGTCCATATTGATAAGTGTACTAACAATAAACCTTCACAATCATCCAATTACAACCTGTAACAAGCACTGAAATTTGGCTCATTAGGGCCCGTTCGGCTGGAACCCAAAAGCTACTTTTGGCCAAAAGCTTCACCAAAGTCAAAAAGCGCTTTTGACCAAAAGTAGCTTTTGATTTTGGTCAAAAACTCCGGTGTTCGGTAAGTTTGTTTGATCAAAATCAAAAGCTACTTTTGGTCAAAAGTTCGTTCAATTTCAAAAACAGCCTCAAGGCTGTTTTTGAGATGAAAATCAACTTTTGCCCCTCGACTCAATCGATCAACCTCACCCACTCAAACTTCACCCACTCAACACTCTTCACCCACTCGACACTCTTCACCCACTCAAAACCCCTTGCCGCCATCAATCATGCCTTTCCACCATTGTCTTTTCTTATTTCATGAAATCAGTCATCTTACTCATCATCTCGTCATCGATTCAAACAAATCAAATCCATTAGTAGTAATGGATTCACTTTGTAAACCAATCAAAGATTTCTTTCTATTTCTTTGATTTACATTAACTTGTAGTCCTTGAAGTTCTGAATTGTTGTAATGAACTTTGATGTTTAAGATTTCCTGATTTATTTATACTATGAACTCGATGAGTAACAGTCGCTAATTTGGATGTTCTATTGATGGATCAATGTATTTAAAACTCATTCGATTAATTTTCAAGTTTTGACACAAAAACTCCTTTTACATGACCGTTACCGAACTGTCAACCGGTGATCAAAAGGTCAACAATGATCTTTTTGATCTTTCATTGAACTTTTTGGTTGACTGTTTGGTAAACGAAGAAGCCGAAATTCAGCTTTTCATTTTGCCCCTTGAAAATGGGGCAAAATGAAAAGTCGCTTTTGTGTAACGACTTTTGGGAAAAACAGCCGAACGGGCCCTTAGTGTTTAGAGAAACTTTTGATTTCTGAAAATACTCATAACTTTGTCAAATCTGCCTCAAAACGCTCGATTTTGGGTGCATTGGTAAGCTGGAATTGTCCTCCAAAAAGTTCATAATAGGACCACACAGCATGCTGGTCTGCTAAAAAAGATACCATCTCTTTTTTATAACTTTGTACATACAGATCCATAGAATGATTGTCATACTAGCTACATAGTTCTTGATCTTATGAAAGTTCGAGAGGAAGAGTTCAGCTTTCCAATGCACTTAAAATCGAGTGTTTTGAGGCAGATTTGACAAAGTTATAGGTGTTTTCAGACATCAAAAGTTTCTCTAAACACTAATGAGCCAAATTTCAGTGCTTGTTACAGGTTGTAATTGGATCATTATGAAGGTTTATTGTTAGTACACTTATCAATACGGACTGTAGAAATATGGAAAAATATGGAGAGTGAAGCTCTCACCGCAGGGAACAAGATGCATATTTTTATTTATTTTTTGCCCTTCTCCTGGCCTCTCAATATTTTTGTGTATCAATAATTTAATTTTCTGCCCAGAAAATATTATATTTTGTGTAGTGATTGCAAATAGCCATTCAATAGTGAAGGTCATAAGACTGTTGAAAAGGTCACATCATCATTAGCGTCAAATTGTTAAAAGTAGATTGAACAACTGGGTAGCTTAGTTTGAGAAGAACAATACAAACCAGGGGGGCGATGAGATAGTTTGTGTTCGGGTCCAGCAGTACTGCCTACGGACCATAGGGTTGAAACAGTAACAAAGGTGGCATCGGCAGTTGAAAGTTGAGTCAAGATCACGCCAGTATATAGATGGTAGCCACCATGTACACATAGAGCACCAAATGTTGCACTGAGGAGCTGTGCAAGAAGATAAGGAAATAAATCCTTCACTGGGAATTTACCAAAAATCTACAATGCTGCGTATTAGTTATCATGAAGAGCCAAAGCGTAGTGGAAAAGGCCGTACAGTGAGGCTCAGAGTAAGTCCAGGGTTCAGATGAACATTCATGAGGCAAGGGCAAGGGATGAAAAGCGCATATACGAAAACCAAGATAAGGGGACAGCTTTGAGAATGACGAGGAAGTGCGTCAGTCTCTGTGCGGGTTCTTGGTCTGAAGTAGTGAGTAGGAATTACAAGTAAATTATCGCCAACTGAATTAAGAGATGAGCAAGACGGAAGTGGGTGCGGATACACCACAAACCCTCCTTTTGTTGAGGAACGGGTTTCAGGAGGTTCCACCAAGACATGGTTGAATACCGGTGGATTTTTGGCAGAGTACCGCGACCTGATCCGGCCCTCAAGTGATTTTCAAAATACAGGTGATCAACCACCGTGAGAGCGGTTGATCACCTGAAGTCATGATTTCCTTGAAAACCTCTCAAAAACCCGTAATGACAGAAATGAAAATGGTAAAGTCTCTCCTCCATATTTGATTTAAATTCTTCCTTCAACTAACACGCCTTGCATCTTCAACAAATCAAACCAAGAACGAATCAAAAAAGGCCACGACAATGACGATGAAGATGGAAATGACAATGACGATGAGGACTACAATATCAATGAGGACAACGATGATGATGACAATGATGACAATGGTCCAGGCCGATCTTCAGTTGCTGGTAGTCGAAGCCCTGCTGCTAAACCAGAAATTCCAGCAATTCCGATGCATCTCACTGGTCAACAATTACAAACCTTCAATGAGCTGTCTAGTATTCTTGAACTCAATGAAGATTATAAGGTCAAGGGACGTGAGCTCTGCAATGTAAGTAACGTAATCCACACTTTCCATGAGAGAGAACACAGCTCAATTTCAACCTATAGGTACACGAGAAATCAGACCATTTCACAGCCATGATGGTAAACCTGCTTGCATCTCAAAAAAAGCTTGATGATTATCACGAGTTTGTTACCAGCAAGATCACCCAATTACTTGAAAGTTTATCATCGGTATCAGGCCCAATGAAGGGGTGGAACCCGGCCCACAAGCTTAGGGTAAGTCAAATTCAAATAACGATCAAAGATACCATTTGTTCTCTGATGTCTTGGTCACTTTAAGCAAACTGTACGTATGATAGCCACTCAGTGCATTATCACAGGTGATGTTCAAGCATACATGGCTACCCGGGACAAGCAAGGCAATCAAGAGCATCTTCCCCTCTCTCTGTCTGCAAACGTTTTGGTAAATCAAATTTTCTGAATTGTTGTTCTCTCATACTTTCTTTTTTCACTGATCTCATGTTGCAGGATAAAATTCTTGAAAATCCGTCTGAATGGAGAAAAAGATTGCTTCCAGCCCAATATGGCAGAAATCCGGACCCTGTTGAATCAAAAGACTTTCACAAGTGGCTTAATGTCATTTTGAAAGAGATCAGAAAGGATCTGAATAAAATCGTAAGCAATTTCATTCCTATCTTCACCCAGACAATCAATTTTGCATCTTTTTTTTTTCCTTCTACAGCTCCTCACCAACATCCACATTCCAAATCGAGCCGAGAAAACACCGTCCCTCTTGAACGTGCCAACCATTGAGTCGATCATTATGAAGGTAAGTAGCGCTCAGTACCTGTTCTTCTAACAATTTTTCTTTCTTTCTTTGGTTATGATTTAGACTCATAGTTCGAATATCAATAGATCTATGAAAGAGAACACGACTTTATCAGAGGCAAAGTGCGTGTCCGTGAAGATATTCTAGCAGAAATAGATCATCTTCGAAGAGCTCGTTATGCGTGGCTTGTAAGTTGCATGCAGATTGCCTTCATCTCATCCCTACTACATAACAAAGGCTGATTTTACAATATGGTTTCTAACAGAGGATGCAAGTATTACCACAACCATTCGTTCTGGGGAGTTGTAGACGATAAGTTGGAAGACTTGCGCACTAAGTCTGTCCGTTATCGTTATGCGTGAGTTTTACTTGTTTTGTTGTGTTTGTAATTCCCTTTGATTGATCATTTCACATTATGATTCAACACATTCTTTCAAAAAACAGCTACTTTCTCGTAGTTTTACGCTTTGACTTTGACCAATTTGATGGGAATAGGACCTTTACTGAAATCAAGGGAACCACCGACTTTGCGTTGCCAAGTGAAGATGAGGTTCAAGCACAAATCAAACACTTAGATCAGACTCACGGAGCTGTTATAGAACAACCAGAGGCCTCCCATCAAGAGCCCGAGTGATAGCATCACTTAGCTAGGTATGTAATATAAGAAGGATTTTGTTTTACTTTTTTACTTTGCAAGTATTTTTCATTCATCTTGTCTTCTGTCAGGTAGCTGTAACATTTTTCCTTTTCTTTCTTTTTCTTTCATTTTCTCTCATGTAAGATTTTTCCTTTTCTCTCATTTTATTTGGTTTGGAACATCTTCTTTTCCTTTTGTAAATACGTTTGGTTATTGTTTCATTTTGTTGTCAATGGAGAAACGCATCACTGGTTAAGCGTACTGCAAACAGCAATGTGGAGCAAATGAAAGCGCCGGCCTGCGAGCTGGACACAAAATTTGGAGCGCCCCTGATTTTCCACCAACCTGAAACCAGTTCAGAACCGGGCTTATAAGCCCAGTTCCTCCCAGGTTCGGCAGGGCACGTTCTACACACGTTTCCGCCTAGGCAAGCAGAACCGGTTCTTGACCAGGGGTCAGCCCTAGGTCAGGAACCGGTTTGGTGGGTTCGTGGTGTAGAAGAACGTTAGCATCAGAAACATGAGTTAAACCTGTAAGGATCGATGGGGGTGTACATTACGAGGCCAAGCATGGTCCCCAGACATGAGGTATGCTGAATGAAAGATCAGTCAGCTGGATATTCAAACATATCGATTGAACGCCAATAAATATGAGCTGGCCACATACAAAGCTTTATGGTTTCAGCACACACAACAAAGATGAAAACACCAATGAACTCGGAAATGCTGCTCGTCAGATGCGTTGGCTGTTTGTGGATGTGCTGATTGTCCTCTAGGGCGATGACGGGAAGTGTGTGAGGAATGCTTTCTGAATTCTTCTCTAAATACATGATGAAAGATTGACGATCGCAGAATAAGATTGATAAGATGTGAGTTGTAAAGAGAAGGGCAAGTGAGTCGAGTGGAAAAAATGGAACAATGTGAGGATTGATACGGGGGTAAAACGATTCTTGGTGCGATATATATTCAAAACAAGAAAGATGGCAAGAAAGGAACGAAACGACAATATCATTCTTGTCTGACTCAAAAGAATGTGTATTGGTTCCATAGATTCCAATCGCATTCTCAAGCAACAGGCACGTAAACACCTGCATTCTCCGTTTAGAATCTCATTTCCCTCCAGTACTAAAAAAGCGGGGCTGGGTGATCAAGCTCCAGCTCATAGTCCTCAATTGCAAGACTGCTACGCCAAGGTCCTGATTACATAAGCATGCCCTATTTTGCATGGTCTTGTGTAAGTTAAGTGACACATTGTCGTTGATCATTTACCTACCAACACAATAATCATTCGCCTCACTTCATCTCAGCAGATGCCACGCTGGGAAAAGTCTCCAAGATTAGAACATCCTCCAAGCCATTTACATGGTGTTTTCAGACGTCTTATTATTAATAAAAAACAAATGAAAAAAAAAACTTCAAAAATGGATATTAGATTGCAAAAGGGGAATAAGTGTTGTGCCTTATTTTACAAGGTCATAAATACCAATTTTAAGACCGTTCAGGCAACCGCAATCCAACCACCTTAAAAAACACGATCGGGGCTCTGCGTCAGGACGTTTGCACTTCTCGAGTTGAATTGCGCTATTGATCCCAACTAAGAGCAGTGAGTGGCTCCTGATTGATCTAACAAGACCACCACTGCTCTTAAAGAAGTCGTTTTGTCTCTCGTTGCATCTTCTATCCTCATTCATTCATTGCATCATCTCTATACCCTCTACCAATAAAGTCGTAATGTCATCATCTTTTCTTGCTGGTGTTGCTACCTATAGTCAAATTGTACAAAGTGTTTTCATGACACTTTTTGATCATGGCTACGCTGAGTTCTTATGCACATTATTTCTTGTCACCATAAGTCGAATTCCTTTTGCTTGTACGTTCATATCTTGTTTTCTCTGTTCTTAATTTTTTAAACTCATGCTTCTTCCCCAGTACTAAGTTCAACGGACATCAAAGGATTTCAACATGAATCAATTCTTATTGCTGCTGCCACTGAGTAAGCTCATTCAATACGCTATTATCAACTGGGACTGATTATTATCATAAAGTCATTAGACTAGCAATTTATTTCACATGATATCTTGCTAGGTTCCTTGGTACTGAGGTATATCTAGACTTTGGGACTACGCTGCTAGCCATTGTAAGTCATCTCCAGCATTGATACTGTTTTGAAATCAGCTAATCACAGTAATTTTGCAGTTTTCAGGGCGTATACCAAAATGCTGTATCATTATTCATTTTATATCTCAATTAGTTGGGGCATTCACCGCCATTCAACTCTTGTATCTTTGCTGTAGATGGAGGAATCCTTTAATATTCAGTTCCCAATCCCAAAAGGAAGAGGACTTCACGTCATTTGCCCAAGGTCCTGCGGGGATATGTGCCACCCTGCTGGATGAATCCTCATCAATATATATGTAAGATCCCTGATTTTTTTTGAGTCATCCCAAAAAGCTGACCTTATTCCATTAGTGTCGTGGGAATTGAAGCAGCTGTAGGCTTCATTATAGGAGCATTACAATCAGCAACTTCAAACCATGAAAATGGATTGCGTGCTTCCATCACTTTCAATATAACTTTGTAAGTCACCTTCAGTAAGTATCTTATTTATTCTCGTCTCCTTCTGATCAGCTGTTTTAAATCTTTTGTAGTGAAATGGGATCTGTCTTGCTTTTCAACCACCGCAGCCTGGTATTCAATCCTGTCCTGGAGGTGGGTGGCCAAATGGCGACAAGAATAGTATGGGGTGATATGGTTTTTCATAACCCTTGGAGAAATACTTTGATGATATCATCATCATTTCCAACACAACTGGTATGTTGGTCACTCTTTTTTGTTTTTCTCCGTATTTTGCTGATGAGAACCCCCAGCTGGGAGGCTTTTTGACCAATATTTACCTGCAGAGACGAAGAGTTTCACGCTTGTCTGAGGAGCTGGACAACGTGAATTCTGTGGCTTAATGGTTTCACTCTTTTCTTGTTACAATTGTATTACTTCTTTATCTTACAATTACGATTGTTTTCTGTTACAATGAAGTTGACACGAGTTCTGTTTTGAGACAAGAATGAAGAGATGCCTCACTGAAAGCCCATATGATCTTTGCCACCTAATAGCTGCACACCAACCGCCGCTAGCTTCGTACAGCTGACCACTAGTTTCTTCATTCGTTTCACTGGTCAGATAGCCGACCAGCGGTGCGACAAAGTCGGGCTTAAACGCTTGAACTCGCTCTTCAGGCCACATGGTAGCCGTCATCGCAGTTCCGGCGTTTGGAGCAATAGTATTGCAGAATATGTTATACTTCTTGCCTTCGATTGCCAGAGTCTTAGTTAAGCCCAGAATGCCTGCCTTTGCCGTACTATAGTTAGCCTATTGTGTATCGGACATCCAATCGGGAACCAGAGATGATCATCAGGTGGACTCATCTTTGTCACCTAAGTAGACTTGTTTTACATACCTGACCAAAGTTTTGATACAGACCTACAGCGCTAGTAGTGTTGAGTATCCTACCGAACTTTTGTTTCATGAAGATTGGCCACGCAGCATGACAAACGCTATAAGTTCACCTGAGATGAACCTTCTGAATAATATCCCATTCAGCGTTGGTCATCGAGATAAAGCTCTTGTCACTCAGTATACCAGCGTTGTTAACGATAACATGTAGGCTTCCAAAGTTGTCCAAAGCAGCCTTCACGACCTTCTGTTCATCCTCAACGGATGAAGTATTGGCAACTGCCTTAGCACCGAGATGTTTGATTTCATCCACCACTTTACTCGCGGCTTCCGAGTTCATATCGTTCACCACGACGTTCGCACCAAGCTTGCCATACATCAAAGCATAGGCTGTTCCTAGCTATCCTCAGGTATTGGAAGCGGAATGGATATGAGAAAAATGGTAATGCATTGGTTTAATATCAAGAATTACTCACCCCGTTGCCAGCGCCAGTGACCATCACAGTCTTTCCACGGTAAGTGAGCGGCTTTGACGACTGTGGATTGGTAGAAAGTTGCTTTCCTTGCTCCAAATAGTCTAAAAAATGGGCGTCTGTGATGTCTTCCGGATGCTCAGCCTGATCAAAATTGTTGATCTCGTCAAACCGAGCCATAATCTATAATAGAACCATGATACAAATAATATCATCAGGCGTGTGCTCAACAATTGGGGATTGTAGTCCGATGCTGAGAAGGAGACATACTGCGGACGGAGTAAAAGTGTCATCCGCTTCGAAGACTGCGCCTCGAGTTCTTTCCCAACGTAGCTTTCCGTACCATCCAGCTCCAGCTTCAAAAACTTGACCGCTCTCTTTGGTCTGGTCAGAGGCTCAGAATGCAACAAGGGGAACATTAGACTCTAGAATTCTTAGATGCTGAAGACTCTCAACTGGTTAAGGAAGCCAAGCAATATAGAGCAGAGCCTGATGAATATACCTTTGACGAGCAGGATTCACAGGGGCCAAAATCAATGCTCACAACTATGTGAGTGTTGTAGACTTTCCTGAAAACTCCAAAAAAGATTCATTTTGTTTCAGAATCATTCAATTCATGAGTTTGGTAGTGTTCAGGCAATCAGGCTGTTTTGCTCAGATTTTTCTTGGTGTTGCTGGAGAATTCTCATTTTCTTCTTGGATGAGCATTCTTCACAGGGGCCAAAATAGATACTCACATACATGTGAGCGTTGTAGACTTTTTGGAATTCTGCAAAAAAGATTCATTTTCTTTCAGATTGATTCAATTCACAATCTTGTTTGTGTTCAGGTGATCATCCTGTGGTTGTCATATTTTACTTGACATTTATTGAGAAGGCTCATTTCCATCTTGGATGAGCAATAACTGATTCCCAATGAGTACTCAGGATCAGCTCATGAGGCACTGAATACTCAGCAATTTGTTCAAAATGAAGATGAGCACATGAACTATACCTTCCTGAGGCTTCATTTTTCAGTGAAGAAGCCTGCCCAGGGGCGTCCCATTTGAGCTGCTCAGCAAATACTCAGTAGCATCCCCTGACTGGATCACTGATGGGCCGGACTTTTCTCAGACTTCCTTGCTAAGGAATGAAGCCTGATAAAAGCGTCATCCCATCTGCTCATTGCTCAGCTAATCCTCAGTGATATCCCTGGATAAAGTTTTTCACACTGAGGGGCTGAGATCAACTGAGCAGCCCCTCAGCCAATACTCAGTGACATCCTTTGGATCCTTCTGATCCGGCCAGGAATGCCCCTGAGGACTAGCTGAGCAGGCCCTCATCCAATGAGCAGTGAAATCCTCCGGATCCTCCTGATCTCAGGGATGCCCCTGAGGAATAACTGAGCAGCCCCTCATCCAATGAGCAGTGAAATCCTCCGGATCCTCCTGATCTCAGGGATGCCCCTGAGGAATAACTGAGCAGCTCAGTTGAACGAGCAGACGGGCCTCAGGCTTCATTCCCGAGCCATCAAGCTTGAGGCAAGCTTGGCGCTCTGTGATCCATCTGGGGGATACTTCAGAGACTTAGGTAAGGGAATACTCAGTTCAGCTCAGCCCCTAAGCTATACATTGGTGGCATCCCTTGGAGCTTACTGAACCAGGGAATGCCGCTCAGGATCAGCTGAGCAGATGGATCAGCCCTTCCTCAGACTTCTTTGCTCAGGAATAAATGCTGAGGAAGGCTTAGTTTGTCTGCTCAGTTCCTGATGATCACGTAATCAGCTGACAAACAGAAAGAAAAGGGAACAAATGGGAAACAAATTGGAAACAAATGGGAAACAAATGGGAACAAAACAGGAAAATTTCAACGCTCACATAGTTGTGAGCATCAATTTTTGCCCCTGTGCTTTGGGCTCAGTCTCCGAGATGAATATTCAGGATTCGCTCATGAGGCATACTCAGAACCGCTCAGAACCTCTCCAAGATGGAAACAAACTCTTTTTTTTCACCACCCTTCCCAATACATGTCAGCACTACACCACAAATTTACCCTGCTTTTGTTGAAATTTGGTTTGCGGGGTTCCAAAGAATCACGACCAGAACCCGGCTCAAATTCCGCGGGGTTTTTAGCATAGACCGGTTTTTTGACGGGTTGAGTTTGATATCTTCATTGTCCAAGTCTTGATTCTTTACCTTAGTCTTCAAATCTAACTTCAATCTTGCCTTCTTCTCCTTCTCCAATTAACTCTCGCCATCTTCCTTCTTCAATCTCTCCTTCTAAATATTTAATTACTTGCGTTCCTCCTGAATCTTTACCTTCTGATCATCCTTGTACATTTTTAGCTTGTACTGGTTATGGTCCTGCTCAAGCTTTTTGTTAAATGCCCTCTTTCTTTACTTTTGACTCTTCTAGATTTACACCTTGAACTCAACACTCACATTCTCCAATTCATCACAACTGCTCAAGACCAACGGATTGGTGAAGTTCCTAACACTGCCAGGATTAAACACTGTCCCTAATGGAATAATGATCACTTTTGCACTAATTGCTTAGCATTTATATGGCCAAAATTAATTATCCCCAAAAAGCAACACATTATCCCAATTAGGACAGTGTTTAATCCTGGCAGTGTAACCTCAACGACCAATGACCTATTCAGTTTCTAACGTTAGTTCCCAAACCTTCTCTTCAGCCGATCAACAATAACATAAAAAGGATGATTTTTCCCTTTTCTTCTCTGTATATATATTAGATCGCACTTGGTTTTGCAAGAGTTTGGAGACAAGTAGATGCAGAAGATCAAATCTTAGGAAGATTAGCAACACAAATTGCTAATAAATTAATGGGAAAATATAAAGCATTCTTTGATCCTAGAAGTATGAATTTTTAATTGATTAATAAGAACTATAACGATCACTTTATGAATAAGCTGATGAGTAATAATTGTTTTTTTTCCTTTGGAAGTTGATATAGGTGATTATGTTGTTGTTACAAATGCTAGATTAATTAAAGTCACAGGAAAAAAAGAAGCCCAAAAGATTCATTATTCTCATAGTCAATATCCAGGAGCATTAAAAGAAACACCATATTCAAAACTATTAGAACAAAATCCACCCATGGTTTGTTTCTTCTTTTTTCCCATTTCCCAATCAATTTTTTACTAAACCTTTGATAAACTTTTTTTTGTTTTTTGTTTTAAAGATTTTAAGACAAGCAGTTTCAGGAATGTTACCAAAAAATAAAACAAGAGATAGAAGATTAGAAAGATCATCAATTCATGCTGATGAATCTCATCAATATCAATCCAATCTATTCAAAGATTATACTAAACCTAATTTCAATACTACAACAACATCATCATCTCATTCTTGAATCGATCAGAACTTGCAATTATACTCTTTTCAATAATTCCTAGATCCATTACATGTTGAGTGGTTACTCAAAGAACAATGATTGTTTGGTTTTCTAGGATCATCCTTGTACAGAGCTTTCATAAAATATCAAATTTTTAACTCGGTTTTGATTACTTTGATCACTGAAATATTTAAATCTAAACCGAATTTGACTCTGATGTAAAAATATAACCTCAATGACCAATATGAAAGAGAGTTTATAAAATTTGAGCCGGGTTCCGGTCGTGATTCTTTGGTACCCCGCAAACCAAATTTCAACAAAAGCAGGGTAAATTTGTGGTGTAGTGCTGACATGTATTGGGAAGGGTGGTGAAAAAAAAGAGTTTGTTTCCATCTTGGAGAGGTTCTGAGCTGTTCTGAGTATGCCTCATGAGCGAATCCTGAATATTCATCTTGGAGACTGAGCCCAAAGAATGCTCATCCAAGAAGACAATGAGCATTCTCCAGCAACACCAAGAAAAATCTGAGCAAAACAGCCTGATTGCCTGAACACTACCAAACTCATGAATTGAATGATTCTGAAACAAAATGAATCTTTTTTGGAGTTTTCAGGAAAGTCTACAACGCTCACATAGTTGTGAGCATCGATTTTGGCCCCTGTGAATTCAGCGGCAATAGGCCGCAATGCGCTTGCACAGGAGTATACAGGCGGTTTGGGGCCGAGACTTGTGGTCGCGGTACCAGTACTCGACCCGAGTAGACGGAGCTTCATTGAGCCCGCAGGTGAAGGTTTTGGTACCGTGAGGGTACATTAACAGCAAGCGTGATTGATGAAAATGAGAAAAAGGTTGATCAACGATGAAAGTGGATTATGAAATTAAATTGTAAAAGACTGATTACCATTCACTTCATCAGTCAAAAACCATTCTCATCATCAACATCATCAACAAATCGAAGGCTTCAATCAAGACTACAATCAATATCAAATCCAAGAGAAAACTCAAAAAAGGATATCAAACTTAATTTATTCAGATCAAAAGCCATGTCAGAATTCGATCAGTATCTAGAGGATGATGACTTTGATATAGCTATCTTTGATGCTGCCCTTAATGCTGCCAAGAAATCATCGGCATCAAATCAAACTCAACAAAACTCTAGTCGAACGAACAATCCGATTCCTAGACCAACTCAACGTGAAACTAATTCCAGTACTCAGACTCAAGTTAGATATAAACAACAGACTATCTTTGGAGCCACTCAGGTCCCCGAAAAACCAAAGCGAAGTAGTCAACAAACTTCAACCCGACGAGTAATTAATCCTACTCAAAATCCTATTGCTCAAACTCAACTTCTTCCTCGTGTCAAGGCAGTTAAGAAGTGGGATAGAGTTCAATCTATTCATTCACTCGCAAGAGTCATCAGTAATGGTAGAACCACATCAGCTCTCAACAAACGTAAAGCTAAAAGACCTTTTGATGAAGAAGATCAAGATGAAGGGATCTTATCAGATGATTCAGAGACTGAAAGATTTTTACAAGCTGCTCAACAAGTTGAAGATCAAGGTGCTGAGATTCCTATGCATCTGTCATGTGATTCTGAAGAAATTAAAACTTGGATTTATAGTATCAACAAACCTAAACGTAAATATCAGTATGATATCGTTGCCAAGGCTCTCTTCAACAACTGTCTGGTAAGTCTTCCAACCGGCTTGGGGAAGACGTTTATTGCTGCGGTCGTCATGCTTAAGTGCGCGAAACTCAACCCACTCGTCTCCTTTCTTTAACATGACTGGCGTGAAGATCTTTTGAATCTGATTCGATACTGACGTCTTGATTTCTTTGGCATTACTATCACAGCTTTTATCGATGGTATCCTCAAGGCAAGATCTTATTTCTTGCACCTACCAAACCACTTGTACAACAGCAGGTCAGTTTGATGATCTATCAACAAGCTGTTTCCAAAACGGATATTCGAAATTGATAGGAATCAACATCCACAAACCCCACAGATCGAGGCTTGTCATTCTATCGCAGGTATACCATCACGAGACTGTCTCACCCTCACTGGTTCAGTTGCCCCAGCAAAACGAGCCAAAGTTTGGGATCACAAACGCGTTATCTTTTCAACTCCTCAGACTGTAATGAACGATCTTACTAAAGGACTCTTGAAACCTCAAGATGTAATCTGTGTAGTAGTAGACGAAGCTCATCGGGCAACTGGAGCATACGCATATTGTGTGGTGATCAAATCTCTCATGAGATTCAACCCTCACTTTCGAGTTCTCGCTCTGACTGCTACCCCTGGAAGTGATCCTGAGCGAGTTCAAGAAGTCATTGATAATCTTCATGTGAGCATGATTTTGATTCATCTCTTCTCTTGTTGACAAACCTAAAGATAAACCAACTCATCTAACATTCTTTCATCAGATCGGTCACATTGAAGTACGTACGGAAGAATCAATGGATATTAAGCCTTACACCAAGCATAAGGAAATCGTCCTCGAAGTCATTGCAGTCACACCTGAGCTTGCATCAATTCGAGACAAATGGGCGACCCTCATGCAACCGTTCATCAAACAATGTGATGCCCTTTTCCGTGGTTCTAAAGATCCTACTCTTATACATCCTTACAGTGTCACCTCCGCCGTTAATCAACTCCCAAAGGAGAGAGGATATCTGAGACCCAACTTATCACTCCTTGGAAAGATGGCATACGTGATGGCGAAACTTTTGGAGTATTCTATTCCGATAGCACACGAGAAGATGGCCGAACTTAAACATGAGCCATCTAAGGCTGCCAAGGGATTATGTAGTTTGGTTGGCTATAAGTCACTGTTATATGATATTGAGGAAATGATGAGATTCCCAACTTTCTCACCTCATCCAAAGATGGACAAGATGAAAGCTTTGATCATCGAATTCTTTATTGGAGTCTCTGAACGACAAAAAGGACAGAATAAAGATAAACAAGGCACTAGTCGATTGATGGTGTTTTGTAATTTTAGGGATGTGGTGACTGATATTGTAGATTATTTGAATATGGAACAACCTTTGATAAAAGCTTCGGCTTTTATTGGTCAAGGTACTGATACTAAAGGAAATCGGGGTATGACACAGAAGCAACAGGCTGAGGTGATCAGAAAATTCAAAGCGGATGAATTTAATGTGCTTGTAGCCACTTCGATTGGTGAAGAAGGCTTAGATATCGGTGCCTTGGATTGTATTATATGTTATGAGGCTCAAAAGAGTCCGTTGAGGATGGTAAGTCACATTTCTTCGTCTCAACACCGATCTTCTTCTCGAAATTGACCCACTGGCCTTTTTGTTTTTTAATTCCTGAAACAAAGCTGCAACGATTAGGGCGTACAGGTAGAAATGAGGATGGTAAAGTGATTGTTCTTATGTCACAAGGCCGAGAGGAGCTCAACTGGGAAAAAGCTAAAGATCAATATCAACACGTTCAAAACGCATTATTATCAAAGACAGTCTTAGAGCTCTTTGATGACTGTGAAAGACTTATACCTGAAGGCGTACGACCGGTGCCAGTTGACAAGGAGCTTGACGTTCAACCTTACATTGCTGAAGAAGTGGAGCTTGAGAAAGTCATCGTTTCGAAGGATAAACCTGCACGGAAGAAAAGGCCGGGAATCGAAGATCTTCCACCAGGCGCTAGACTTGGATTCGTTACTGGTCAAGACTTTCAACCGATTGCAAAATCGATTGTAGATCGGGCTCAGGCCGCATTATTGGATAAAGAACAAACTGAGGTTTTGAAAAGTCAATGGTGTCGTAGCGTTGATCCTGATTGTGTTCCTCGACCGATCGATGTTGATCAAATGTCGATTCGGTATCACCCTACGACCACTAAACTTGGTAAGAAGCTCAATTCCGCTAGCGATCTTGGTGGACCTCGGTCTAGAAAGTTTTCTACGGTGATCGATGGTATGAAGGATCTCGCTCATGATGAGGACGTATATCATAACTGGAAGACGACCATGACAAATGCTTTTGATGAGAACCATGTGATTTGGTGGCCGGATGAGCTGAAAGGTTCAGGTGCAAAGAGGCCATTCCGACACTGTCGTGGAACGGGTGAAGTGGTACGAAGGACGTGGAATAAATTTCAATTCAAAGAGGGCGAAAGTGGTAACCTACCTTCGCAGATTGAAGTCATGAGCTCCAATCTTAGTCAAATTGGAACCGCAAGTGACGCAGTCCAATTCCCCGAAGGATTGATCGGCTCTCCCGATCTTGCTCATAAGCGCCATCGGCTCGATTCTGACTTGGACGATGATTTACCTGATTTGAATGAGATATTAGAAGACCCTAATGCTCCACCCAAGTCTGATTCGTCAAGTGACGTCGTGCTACGGGAATTGCAACCGACCCCTAACAAACGCTCTGTTCACCAGAGGAGCCCGTCTCTTACAATACTCTCTCCCAAGCATAATTCATCCTATTCGGCTCTCGAGTTGGAACTCCACAACGAGGGTGTCTTAAGACACTGGTCTCCCGATCCAGTGGTCTCTATGAGCCGACCATCTGACGACCCACTTGAGATCGACCACGAAATGGATCATCATGAGCCTATCCAACTTGATTGTGCTTCTGTATCTCATACTCGCACACCGGCTCATGAACCTGTATCAACGAAAAGGCCGCCTGTATCACCTTCCCCAGTACCGGTCAAGCCGATCTCACAACGAGCGCCTATACGAGTATCAGAAGATGAATTTGACATGTCATCAGACTGGGATCCCTCGGCACTAGCAGAATTAGATGAGATCGAACAGTTACATACAGTACAACCTATGAACCCTCCTGCTATACCTTTCAAACCGAATCCATCCGCTACCAATCTACCACCTAAAACCCCAATGGGTACGACGAAAGTGGCCTTGGGACAAAAGATGAAACCGATCAGGTTGATAGATGAAGATGAAGATATGTCACCATTAGTGGTCCGAACCAAGCAACGAACACATCGACCTGCTCTCACAAGTTTGAATAAGTTTGAGAATGCTGATTCGATTTCTACAACTCAATCTACATCAAGATTGGATCCAAGTACAAACTCGGTATCAGGAGAGAAGAATGGAATACTTTGTGAAGATAGTGAGGAAGAACAGAATCATCAAGATGATCCGGATGTTCAATTTTTGGGACCGGAATTGACACAGATGCCAAGATTAGCATCTAGGAAGTTGAGAAAGATGACAGAGGCTGAGAGTAAGAATAGGGTGATTGTTGAAGATAGTGAGGAAGAAGAAGAAGGATGTCATGAAAGAAGAAGAGCAATAAGTCATCACACTCGATTTTTGTCGCCGGATGGAGTTGAGAAGGGTGCGGTTGAGAAGAGATCTAAGAAAGGTAAAGAAAAATCTGTAGAAGATGAAGATGAAGAGATTGACTCACGGAAGAAAAAGAGCGAGAAGTCTAAGGGAGTCATGAAAGGTAAAAAACGTGGACATGATTGGGCTTATAATAATGCATTGTAAGCGATCTTCTAGCTTATACCTGTGACTTGTATTGCCGAGAATACTAATAATCAGATCAACTTTTTCTTAAACGTGACGAATTTGACTAGGTTTGATCTTGAAGCGTCTCAATCTGATCATTCATGTACATCAGGTGAAGGTAAAAGGAAAGGTAAAGGTAAAAGAAAGAAAACCAAAAGAGAATCATCATCAGAAGGTGAAATCCCATCAGAGAATTCGATTGATCGAGATTTCTTAGTAGATCATTTATCATCTAATCAAAAAGGAGATAAATCAATGACATCGTTTTATAGAGCAAGTATTATGTCACAACATCCGATTGCATTATCTAAATTTGAATCTAAACCTAATCAATTTAATGGAAAATATAAATGGAACACACCTGGAAAACTTACATCTAAAACTCATCAACGTCCTTCAAAGGTAGTGATGGATACACCTGGAGCTAAGAAAGAAGATGATCATTGGAGTTATGATTCGTTTTGTGTAGCTGATGAAGATACAGTTGAATATGAAGAAGGAGCTGATCGAACTAGTGAGTTATGATTTAGTGAACCTTTAATAACTTTTTAAATATGTATATCTGTCGTCTTTTGTATCCTTTTTTTTGTGGTGGGTTCTTTGGTTTTTGTAATGTTTATACTTGGCTTGGAATTCAAGGACTTCAGATCATTTGTTTGTTTTAGAATTTTTTCTAAATATTGATACAAGGTTTTTTTGTTCACTGGGATTGAAGATTAGTGATAAGAACTGATAAGTAAAATACATATGTAGAAATCCAATATAAAGTTTGTATCTTTCTTCAGGGATTCGCAAGCTGGTCTTGAAGAGTTCTTTTTGTTAAAAGAAATCGTGTTTTATTTGTGCGATGTAGTTGTTTGTAGTTTGAATTCTATTGAAAAGAATTGAAGTTATTTGTTTAAAAAGTGGCCGTTTTTTACATTTTTAATGATACAATATTTGATTAAAGAAATGTCGTACAAGATAGAGACTCTAATCAATTTTTTCCAAATATTTGATTTGATGATTGACTTTTCATCAAAAGTAGCTTTCATATTTCTAAAACCTCTTCAAAAGCATCTTAAAATTAATGTATTTCCGTTGATGTCATTCCAACTTCCTCGTCAATTTGCTTAAGCTTTCATTAGCGTAACACAAGCTCCATCATATGGGAGGGGATGGGGAACTTATGCCACCTACTTGAAATATGATTGTACTCCATAATGATACCTCAATTACTTCGGTCTTTGGTACTTATACATCGAAATGAACAACAGATGCTTTTGTAAAAAAACTTGGTTTCTCTTCGTCACCCACAATTGCCGGTGTGGTGGTCATTTAGAGAAGAGCCATGAAGCAATGTGAATTATATGTTTCTCTCACCATCAGCCGGGCTTGACAGACCCTGGACTCCTAGGGGCATCTATTCACGAATAGGTGACACTCAGATATGGTAAGTTCAAGATATACGGGCCCAAGATTGGTGGGCTGAATATTCCAAGAGAAGAATTATCGATAACACGGGGACAGGGTATAACAGTTGGACTTCTTTCATGAGGTGTGGAGAATAGTCTCGATATATCCCATTACAATCTCATCGCAACAGAGAAGAGATTTGTATCTGAGAGCATATACTTTGTTGTCTAGTAGTACTAGTAGAACGTAACTTGCAAAACAAAGGGGAAGATAATCCTAATATCATAGATTCATGTTCACTATTCTCGTCATATTCTTAATCACCTTGTGACTTCAACCCCACCTTGGAAGATCAGGAACACATCCACCAAACGATAAATATCTATTTTAACCCTCTAGCTAAATATGATGGAAAGTCACTATACATTTCAGAGAACACTTAATCACGGCCTTTTCACCACGTTACTTTTGCCTTTCGTTGAATCTCAGGAGTCCTTTGAGCTTTTGAGGCTGCTTCGCTTTAGAAGATTAATTGCTGAGGAATAATGATGAGTTGCGCGGGTATATAAGCTTCAATGATCAAAGAAATTCAAGGGGTGGAAATTCCTTCGCGTCTTTGAACTCGCGCCTCATCGAACGATCTACAAGAAAAAATCACCTTACCACATCATCAATCACTATAGTCATTTCCTTTCAGCTTCATCTTCCAATCGCGATATATCATGCCTTGCCATACCAATCGTCCTAAGCCCACCCTCACAGCATCTTTCGCCTTCAATGACTTACTTGACTTGATTGATAACAACATCGAGACTTTTGACATGCCAGATGGAAACTCCTCACCTACCAATGCCGTAGTTTCGCTTGCTTTCCCATCTGACGATGACCTCACGCCACCCACTATCACCTTTACCAATGCCTTTACCCCACTTGCGACTTCATCCTCGCTGAGCGAAGATTCCGCGTCACAAACCCCTTCTGAATTGACAACCACACCGGCTCCACTGCCGTCGTCGACTTACACCATCCCAACATCAACAGCTCCTTTACCGACCGCTACCTCAACAGACTATTTCTCATCGAGCCCATCTTCGACTTCAAGTGCAACAGAAAACAGTATTCCCACATCTACCTCTCCGCCTGCCCCACTTGCGACTGCTGACTCACAGGTTTCACCGCCCCCTGATCAATCAATGTATGTTCAATTCTACCTGTTTCAAAGAGTTTGAAAAGACACTGACCCACGATTTTTTTTTCTGTTCTAGAGACGAATCTACACCTGCAATCAAAATTGTTGGCATCATCTTCGCAATCGCTGGAGCTTTCATTTTAATCGCATTTATCATAAGATCAATCATCAGATACAAACGAAAAAGAAAATCAAAAATAAACGATTTAGAACAACTTCCTAGTCAAAACTCATTAAATTCATCATCGAAAACTGCAAAATCCTCTATTAGTTCAAGGAATCAAGATAAACTTAAGAATCAAATTTCATATCCCATCACAATCCCTGAAAATTCATTTCATCCATTCACTCCTCGTCCTTTACCAGCTGGGCTGCCCCCTCGACGTATGATTCCGGTTTCTAAACCTCTGAGGATGACACAAGGTCGCAGAGGTATAGGTTCACTTACACCTTCATCTTCAGCTCTCACGCAGATGCCTACTCCCCGATTACCTCGAGCTCCAAAATCAATACGTACTATCTATCCACCGCGTGGCCGTACCAACCTTAACTCTAGTGGAAGTAGCTCTGATTCAATGTTAAGTTATCCTACTACAATTGAGAGCAAAGTTGATCCGGAGGGAGTAGCTCAAGTCAATGCACCTATACGTCTTTGGCCTATTACTGAATCGTCAAAGCGTACACGACTTGTTAAAAAATGATCTCAAAGTGAACTTCATCATATCCTAAGTTATATCATGCCCCTTTTTGTTTGTATCCTTTAAGAAGTTTCTTTCTACTATATTCGTTCTTCGTGTTTCTGTTATATTTTTTTGTTGATAATCTTTCTTTTGTGATTCTCTATCAAAAGTGGGCTGTAGCCTGCTCAAGCAATAGTATGTATCGTTTTGTAATTAGAAAGTTCTTGATAATTATTCGCAACATGTTAATTTATACGATCGTTGGTATATGCATTCAAACAAATAGACGTTCTCGCAAGAAAATGTCGGAGTCAAGATCATTCGGACTTCAAACTTTTCTATTGAGAGATAAGAGCCCCGTAGAAGGTCAGAGCATCCTCTGAAAGACAAAAAAGTCTAATCAAGCTCAGCAGTAAAGGACGTGAGTAGACTTGAGTTCCGTCACCAAGTATCAAAATCAATGGTCTAGCTTAACACCAGCGCATCGTCGCGGGGAACAGCGGGGTGCGGTAGACTCCAAGGGACGCCCGCCGCTTACAGGGACTATTTCAGTCGAGTGTACTAGAGAGCATGGACTGATCAGAGTAAAACTCGTCTCTGTTCGGCGCATCGTAGTTCCAGAAAAAAAACATCTATGTATAGGGGCAATCCATTGCCCAAGTTGCCCAAGATGTCAAGATTCGTAATGCCTTCATGACATCGTCTATGGGCCGGAATTGTAAGATTGCGATCTCAAGAGCATTGCCAGCGTGGATTCGTGAACGTCACATTTTCTTAAGTTTCCTGTGGAGCTTGACTATATACACCCAATTTATGATGGTATCCATAGTACTACAAATGTGGTCGGTCTCGCAAACAATTTTAAATATGGTGGTAGACCATCAATCTGAGCCTTTTGGTCGTTTGATCTCTTACAACCTGCCGAACAGAGTGCGCAGCGGCCAGCTCAAGGCTCATCACACCTTGCTTAATTTGCAATTGCCTTTGATATCGGCTCAAATCCACCTAATGGTGTCCCAGCCTTGAATGTAACCTTGAGCCCAGCGTATTCTGCTTTAGATAGGGTTGGATTCAACGCTTGAGTACTTTGAGTTGCGTTTGGTGAATCCAATAAATAAATATAGCTCCGTCTGGCCAGTGAAGGGCAGCACTTCAAACTCATCATCATCAGCTTAGCACTTCATTCATAAGCCCACTCAGGAGCCACCTTCGGCGCGTCAAGGATACTTTCAAGCTCTTTGGCTGAACAACACTAGTTGAGTCGAGCCTTCATACCCGCTCAATCATTGTTGAGTGCCGTCACTTTTAAGGATCGCGGTTCTTGCTTTAGTCACCTAATCTCGAGCTTTCACTTTTCGAACAAATGTAAAAGCAGTCAAAAGTTGCAAATTCATTTCTGTCAATAAGGACCAGGCGCAGATTCGAGCGATTCGTTACTATTTGAAGTACATTAGAGTGGTTTTTGGCTTTGGTATCAGCAGGAAGGTTAAACTATAGGACGAGTGACAGCCTTGTGGATGTCACTCAGTCACCTATCTAATCCCATGCCTGGTGTTTGAGATACCTCGATGACATGCCGATGATTGAAACTTCATCCTGGCTGCCCGATTTCACCTGCCCCCTTCTACAAATCCTCTTTTACATATTTCAAGTGGGCAAACCCATAGCTATCATTCGTGTCATCTGGGTGAAAGGCACCTTGAAAGCCTCGATTAAAGTGCAGATGAGCACTTGAATCCAGTGATGTGCACTCTAAACCAGTCTCCAAATAGAAAATAGACTGGTTTTTGACGTCCTGCGCAGTTTTCTCATCACGAGATAACAGAAATAGCGATAGCAGAAAAAGGAATAGAAAAGCACCTTCCTATTCCTTCACTAACAAAAGGACTGGCTGCGTAAAAGCCCCCAATGCTGCGTTTGCCCGCGTCATCGGCTGTGTAGATGACGTCGAGCCTCACTGAAACTATAGGAGGCTCGACGTTTTAAAACGAATGTTAAAGTTGATCGGACTGTGCACGACGTCTAAAAGTGGTCCTTTGTCTACTTTGCAAGCGAAAACGTGAAAAATCTGGTAAAACGAGTACCATATCGACAAAATAGTAATAACGAATCGCTCGAATCTGCGCCTTCTCTCTAATATCCCCTCAAGAATTTTTACTATCCTGCTTTCTCGCTGCTTGATACCTTGAGCTGATTCAAGGTAGAAGAGATGGGCTAAGGACAACCTCAAAACGTATATGATAAGCTTGAAGCTTGAACTCATTCTTCATCTACGCACATCATCTCTGATAAAACCGCGCCCACTCTTCAAATCTTAAAAAACGCTATACCTCTCAACTCAAAAGCTTTTTAAGCATAGAATTATCAAAATGACCACTTTCATCCCTTACGAAAGCGCCGTTCCAAATACCTCAAACAGTTCCTTCAGCGAGATACCCGTCGGCGATAGGGACCCTCATACCTCCACAACTGTTACTCCTGAAAATTCAATCCCACATAACCTTCAAGGAATCAACAATGACAAAGCGTCAGCCAAGATTCCAACCAAAACTTTGCCCACGCACATCCCCCAACTCATCAACACTTCGCCAAACCAGAATAGATAACTCTTCAGCTGAAGTTCTTGCGGAAGCGCCACAACTAGCACATACATCTGAAGTTGAACCGTCGATAATTTCAAACTTTACAGAAAAACCACATTCTTCTGACACTTTGGATTCATCCTCTATCATTAACAAAACGGGATCTTTAAACTTGAACACGATTCCCCTACCATCAAATCCGACGACTGTCACTCAAACACAGTAAGTCAATCTTCATCAGCTCAATCCTGTCATGAGCCAAAGAAATATTAACCTTCTTTTGATTGTTTTTGCCTTTCTAGGGATTATACAAAAGAGTCACTCAAGATCCTAGGTTATATTACCCTCGCATTTGCCATCTTCTTTTTTATAGGATTAATTCCAATCATAAGAAAACATTTAAAAGAAAGAAAACAGAGAAAGTTAAGCGAAGTTGAATTTGATGAATTTCAACGTTCATTAGAACACTCTACAGATCCAGTTGAAATCAATAGAAATTATAGACTGAAGAAATACCCGATTCCAGCTATGAGAAGGTCTTCTAGTTCGATTATCTCTTATTCACGTCACCCTCGAGGTCTTATGATCCAAACTGATCCAATCGATTTTTCGACTCCTCGTACTTCCTTGACTCGACCGCCTCCAGTTAGAAAACCAAATGTTCAACATCAAAGCTTTGTTTCTGATCTTAGTTATCCTACTACTACATATAGTCTGAATCTACCGATAAGATATGAACCAACAGATTAAATGAAGAATGTTTTTTTGATTTGCTGCAAAGAATGAGGAATATCCAAACTTGTAAAAAACTAAAATTTATCACACACCTTGAAATAACACCTTGATGATGTACTCGAGTGTAATGACCCATGAACCCATCTGATGACAAACACTTCATGCCTTTACAGCCAATTTGACAATGATTGTTTTTTTGCAAGGCTTGTCATGGTGCTAAAGCTGAGTTTTGTCCTGACCAATTTTTTTTCTCTGAAAAATTGTAGAATGGAAAGACTACAAACCATGTAAAATAGCTTTTTGCTTGGTTTTGACCACTTTCTGCAACAAAAGTTGTCAATTATTCTCAGATTGGCTGTAATATTCTGCCCACAATTGGGACAAGGTCATAACAATGTGTATCTATTGCAGAAACTCCTCATGATACTTATTTCTTGTTGGCCATATATCAGTGGGTAAAAAGCACACTGGTACGCCCTAGAGCAATAGTTCAGTCAAACTTGGGATATTCACTTGCGCATCACGAGCAAGAACTCTCAGCCACTTTAGCAGCCTATCATCCATTGGCTCAGTACAGCCAACCCTTGAACTAAGCATCTAGTATATATGCATATTATAGGGTATACAAAGTTCGTTCTGGAAATTTCCAGACATCTTTTTCCAGAACACCAGAAGCCTCCTGCTCTTCTGGAAAACATGCAGTGTTGGTTATTCTAAGGGCCCGTTCGGCTGAGACCCAAAAACGGTTTTTGGCCAAAAACCCCACCAAAGCCAAAAACTGTTTTTGGGTCAAAACTGTTTTTGGGTTTTTCCAAAAACGCCGGTGTTCGGCAATTTCAATTGACCCAAATACAAAAACAGTATTTGATCAAAAACAGTCAAAATCAAAAAACAGCCTCAAGGCTGTTTTTCAAGCCAAAAAGACTTTTTGGCCCTTCACCTCAATCCACCGATCGACGCCAGGAATTCACCACCTCACCATCTACAACCTCACCACCAACACCACCACTCTCTTAATCCCTTCACGCACCATTCTTTCCGCCAGTTGTCCATTTTTCCTTTCTCTCTACAACAATGCAATCAAGAATCAGATTGAATTGAATAAACTTGATTTAAAGAAATCGATTTTGTAGCAAAATAAGACAAATATCAAATCACGTTTAACTACATATCCAAATCGAAACAAACCAAAGATTAGATCTAATTCTCAATCTTCTTCTCTAGAACATTCCTCTTCATCTCAACAACCAATGCCTTGAAGACCAAAATGTATTTTATTTCATTCTAATCATCTAGAAATAAAATCTGATAGGAAAGCATACAAAAAGTTGATTTTATTATCTGATGTTGAGAATCATATCTTTGATTTCCATTGATACCATTGAGCAATTTGTTGTGAATAATATTCTTTGTATGTCTGATATGACTTTTGAAAGGTAAGAACGACACTCCATGTCGTTTTAAATCGTGCGATGCGAAGTGTCAAGAAAAGGATTGATGAATTTGGTTGTGACCAAACAGTTGAATGGTATGGTCAACGATGATCATTTTGATCTTTTGTTGACCTTTTTGGTCGACTGTTTGGTAATCTAAAAAAGCCAAAAAACGAGTTTCTCTATCCGCCCCTGAAAAACTCTTTTTCAGGGGCGGATAGAAATTTTGTTTTTGTGTAACAATTTTTGGCTAAATCAGCCGAACGGGCCCTAAGCTTCAGAATACCATAAGTTCAGAACACACCCAAAAAAAACTTCTGGTGTTCTGGGGAAACACTTCTGGAAATTTCCAGAACCATATTTGTATACCCTAATTATACACTTTGGAAATTGGGCGCTAATTTTTGCATCTGCCACTATCTGCAATTTTTTACTTCAAATTTCAAAACAATTTGTTAATGATTGACTTGATTGTCCAGACATATAAAGCTAGAAGTTACCAACTTGAAGAAAAATAGTAGGATCCACATGGTCAAAAGTGATCACTTTAAGAAAAAGCCTCAACCAGGGGGCAAACAACACATGTTAAAAGAAACCCTTTCCAATTTCAAGACGCACACAGTTCTTATCATATACCATACTTCAACGTGTATGACTTCCAAAGACAGCTTTTTTCTCATAATCGGAACAACACATTATATTCTTGTAATCAGAATATTAGAATCAAATTAATGATTAAATATATTAACATATATATAATTCTTCAAATACCAATGGATATTTCTTTTGATACCATACAATTTTTTAAACTAACAAAAAACCAATATTTAACCCACAACAACCCTTTTTCAGCTACCAAAAAGAAAGTATAAAAACAAAAAAACAAAAAACATATATACATTTATCTCTCAAAATAACCTTTTTCCATTTATTTATACTTTTTTTTAGGTTCTTGATCATCATATTTTACTTTTTTTAATTTTAGCAGTTTCTAATTTCCAAATATCAATCATTGATTTTCTCTTTTTCTTTCCTCCTTGATTCTTCGCACCTGCCATTTTTGAAATAGGTAATCCACCTTGGATCTCTTTAGTTTTTTTCCCCTGTTCTTTATCACTATCACTACCATCACTACTATCATCATCACTATCATCATCACTACTACTACTTTCTATAGGTTCAGTTGCAGGATAAGATGGCTTTTGATTTAAAACGGTTATTGGTACTTCGAAATCATCAGGTTTAAATGAATTTAATGTTTTTCTTCTACTGCCTGTTGGTCTACTTTCTTTTAAATCTTTGGTCATCTCTTGAGTTCTCGACGAGATTGATGACGGTTTACTTATATTTTCTAAAGTTGTAGTCTTTACTTTTTGTGCTGATGGTGGTGGTTTCAGGTCATTCGGGTCTTCGTCAGATGAACTTTCTTCATCCGAAGATTGTTCTTCTACTTGTGGTGTTTGCACGGCAATGTTACTTTGAACTATATTTGCGTGACTTGACGGTGGTTCCTCGTCGGTATCAATAGACTTGGGGCTGTCACCAGCTTTAGTATCAGGCTTGTGATTGCTCACCGTAGCAAGGCCAAGCTTCCCGTGTGAAGGTAACTTGTTCAATGATCTAGTCGCCATTACATTTTCTTCTTCTGACTCGCTTTCCTCATCTGAAGTCTGTACTCGAGAAGTAGTGATAGGCGGATGACTAGAAAGTCGAGCAGAAGAACCGGTGGGAGATGTCTGTTTTCGGCTTAGATAATCATCCTTTGCTTCAACCAGCAGATTACCTTGTGGCGAGATTTTAGTATTTTGGGATTTTGCAGTGGTGATGTTCGATGGTTTGACCAATTTTCTCTTGACTTTTTCAGGACTCGATTGTGGCGCTGTCAAGATTGGTGATGATGATGAATCGTGAGATAAACTTGTCTCATGCGCACTATCATTAGGCTTATCCTATCAAAAACTCCGATCAGCTGAGTTGTCTCATCTACAAGAACTTTTTAACACACACACCTTTGTTGTTGTGAGAGGGGAAAGATCACTGATACTTGGTTTGATTCTACCAGGGTTACAGAGGGACTCTAAACCTTCTTCACGTTCGAGGTCTAATGCGAGCGTGATTGCGTCGGCGGTTTGACTGGATTCAAGTTTACTAGATGTAGGCGAAAGATTGGTGACCTGTTTAACACAGCTTAGATTACCCACCCTTGCGGTTTGATCAGGTCGGATCTCTGGCGACCTTCGAGGTGACCGTTGAGTGAAGATATCAATTGTTGGTGGGGCGGCGGCTTGTTGGACGATCGGCACTCCTTGTGCGTTCGGAGTCGAAGCTGCCTCTTCATCATCACCATCTTCTTCGTCTTCTTCTACACCAATACCGAAGGTCGTTGGATTCAAAGCCAAACCAGAAGCCACGTTGAGGGAGGCTGAAATTGGGTTGAGCGGCAAGCCTCCCTCCTCCTCCTCACTATCTTCATCTTCAGAGCTATCATAACGCCGCCCATTTGATCTTTTAAGACTAGGATGTTCTCGTGACTCTTCATCTTCATCTTCAGGTTCATCGCTCATTTGACTCTCGTCATCTTCCTCATCCTCTTGTAAATTCAATAAATCTTGGGTAGATGGTTTAGGCAACTGACTCGACAATCTTCGAATTTGATCACCGAGGCTTTCTGTCTCATCAATCACCACTTTCTTCGGTATTGAACTAGCTTCCGGATTTTTCAGATCTTTGATTTTCTCATGTACAGGTTGGCCACTTTTTGCTGTCACGGGTGTCGGAACTTTCAATGATTTAGAAACTTTCTTTGGTTGGGATCGTGATAATGTAGGCATCGCAGAACCGCAAGTTTCAGGAAGACCAGAAGAAGCAGGTTGAAGGGTTTTGAGATGTTCGTTCTGTGAAACTTTAGTAGGTTGAGATGGTACAGGTATCACAGAGCTGCAAACTTCAGGTAGACCAGACGAAGCAGACTGAAGCGTCTCGAAATCTTTATTCTGGGTTGTCTGTTGCAAATCATCTTTTTTCTGGATAGGGATCGCAATTCCAAGTTGAACAGCTTCTTTCATTACACTCCAAATCCTTTGTAAAGTTTCAATCGGTAAAGAGTTTTCTTCATTCAAAGTGATTTTCCATTCTCCTACCAACTTGGAAGAATTCATATCCTAATAAAAACATACGAAGCAGTAAGTTCAGTAAAAAATACGACTTTCCTTGGTCGTACTTAAAAGTCTAGAGCTCACCATATGTTCATTAGTTGTAGTTTTACCACTTCTGTTCACAGCAGGCTCATTGTCCGTAGTTGTAGCATTTACCATCACCACATCATTATCTTTGACCAATCGATCATCGGTGGGTCCTACACCCCCATTCTTCTGAAGTGCATTATTCATCCTCATCAGTTCAGAATGGCGTTCGGCCTTCAACCGTTTGGCTTGAGAAACTCTCTTCTGTTTTGGTGGTTTATTTTCTTTCTCCGTTGTTGAATTCACCGTTTTCATCTTTTTGTTTGATGTAGATTGATCATCGCTCTTTTTATGCTTCTTGTTCTTGTTTGCTTGAAATGTGGGTTCAGTGGCTTGGGCGTTAGTCGACATTACATCAACCTCCTTTGTGATTGTTGCAGGTGTATCTTGATTAGTAATGGAGAAAGATGGCGCTGGATTGTTTCGGGTCGGTTGATCTAATACAGGTGTCGGCTTCGTCAAGGTTCGCTTCAGAGCTTTCAGAGGCTCAGCCTGAGGCGTTGAATCGGAACCCAAATTAGAATCACCTAAAGAAGAGTTCGGAGTAGTCGATGTGACCTTGCTGGCAGTAGGCAATTTAAGACTCTGCGAGGAATTCGCTTTTTCGGATACGGCTTTCGACTTGCCTTTTGTTCTTGGTTGGTCAGGAAGAACAGTCGATGTAACAGGACCAGAAGCACTTGAATCATTACATGCAGCCTGAATAGGAGCCACATCATCGGCTAGCCCTATGGCCGACTGTTTTTGAGCCTTTGATTTTGATTTCGACGCAGGTGTTTCGTTGACAGATGTCGATTCAGTGTTTTTCATTTGGGACTTGGCAGGTGTCTTTGTAGCTTTGGTCGCCTTTTTGAGAGGTGAAGGATTTTTCAGAGGTTCCACGGTTGGTATTTCATCTTGGATATAAACAGGATCTACTTCTGTGGGCTTGGTGGTAGTAAGAAGTGCGTCCTCTTCTGGCTCGACGGTCGACTGCTGTGCAGTTTTTTTCTTTGATCTGGCAACTGGCTTTACGATCGCGGCGGGAATTGAGTTCTGAGGTTGCTGAGTAGATGATATTTGGTGCACTTTAGTTGAAGACGTATCAGGTTGTGAGCCAATAGGAGCAGTAGGGCTAGGAACTGATTTTTGTGGTGATTTATGGATCGGCTGTTCTTTGTTCTTGCCCTTAGCGGTGGCCTTTTCCCGGTCAACTTTGGTTGAAGGCGCATCAGGCTGTGAACCGGTAGGAGCGGTAGTACCAAAAGCTGCTTCTTCTGACGAACCACTGATTGACTGCTCTATGTTTCTGTCCTTAGCGGTAGACTTTTTTGGGTCAACCTTAGTTGAAGGCGCATCAGGTTGTGAAGCGGTAGGAGCGCCAGCGCTAGGAACTGGTTTTTGTGATGACTTATTGATTGATTGCACTTTGTTCTTGGTCTTGGTGGCAGACTTTTTAGTAGGTTTGACAGGTGGTGAAGCAATGGGTTCGCCAAGGGATGTGGCTTCGGGATCTTGGGTATTCGAGACTACAGTAGCATCTTGAAGCGCATTGGATGATGTTGTGAGGGATGCGGATGAGCTTGTGGCAATAGGCGAAGCTTGCGGCACTTCTTGTTCTGGTGGATTAGGTAATGTTACTATTACTGGAGTCTCAGAGACTGAGACTAAAGTGGAAGCGGCTGTGTTGGATATCGTTGAGTCCGGGGTTGAGGGGCGTTCTGTCAAATTAGTCAACTTGTATATCTTTGTTGACTTGCGCCTAGGCCTCCTGATAAGCGTTTCGGTAGAGATTTCGGAGGAAGGTGACTGTTCAGTAGTCTCCTTAGCACCTGGCGTGGGATCTACGGATTGTTTGGAGGTGGAAGGTTGAGACTTGGATTGATTGACAGAGCTCGATAGCTCCGGCTGTGGCGTTTGTGGGAGTGGTTGTGTTGTTTGAGTGGATGTTATCATTGATAACTCTGACAGCTGTTGATTTGGCTGTGCCATGTGATCATTGGAGGGGGCGACTGTCGCGCCTACGGCTGACTGGGTTAAAGGTGGTTCTGATTGGTCGTTGATTTTTTTGTTCGGTTTATCCGACTTCTTTGCACGGCCTTTGATCGGCGACTGCTTGTCTTGAGCTATGGCTGATAACTCTGATTGCTGTTGATTTGGCTGTGTCATATTATCATTGGGTGGGGCGACTGTCGTGCCTACGGCTGACTGGGTTAAAGGTGGTTCTGATTGGTCGTTGGACTTTTTTTTCGGTTTATCCGACTTCTTTGCACGGCCTTTGATCGGCGACTGCTTGTCTTGAGTTATGGCTTTATCGATAGAGACAGTTGCGCTATAGGTAGAAGGAACTGCGGCGGAGATAGGGGGTAGCTTCGTGAGGATTTGTGTATCGTGCTCCTGCGAAGGCTGCATAAAAGTCAAAGGCTGAGAAGATGATGGAGCTACAATGTCACTAGGAGCTGATAAAGTTAATGGGGCCGAAGAAGGAGGAACCGAGTCCACGTCTTTGATTGTTGTTTTCTTCTTTCGAGCAGGAATTCGAGAAGATACGTTGGGGTCGGTACTCTTTGAAGCCTTGGGCCTTGGCTTTGTTTGTGATGATTGGGGTTTTTGTGATAATGGATGGTACGCAGCAAGGATCTGCTCAGGTGTTAATGACATGGCTGAAGTTTCGAACCGTGACCAATCAAAAGTGACGCCTGAAGGTCGATTCGGTGTAGATGAAAGAGATGGAGCAGGTTGGTGATTTGCGGGAGCTTTTGAGGATGGTTGAGTCTTGGCTTTTTTACGCGGTGGGGATTGATTTGATGGTGTGGGTGGTATGGGCGAGACAGCTGATTGGGTTGCGCTGATCGGTACGCCTGGGGCAGTGAGTGATTGTCAGTTTTAGTCTGCACAGTTTCAGAGCCCTATGGTACTGCATTTGAGGGGTTTGAACGTACCTGAGTCAACCAAACTACTATCCACAGCAGGTTGTGTTGAAGGGTTTGTATCCTTATTCTCAGTAGTTGCAAGTTTCCTTTTCTTTCGAATTTGTTTCTTCTTCTCAGTTTCTAGTGGGGTGACTGGTATAGATTTCGTATTTGACTCTGATATAGGCGTTTGGAGTTCAGGAGCAGGATTGGATGAGGTTTTCAAGTTTGATATCGTTGGGTGAGATGACCGAGAAGCTACATCAGGGATATTAGGAGTCGAGCCCGATGGGTTTTTGAGGGTGTTTTTGGTCGACTTGTCTGTTGACCGTTTGTTCTGAAGTTGAAAGGTGATCAAATGAAGTAAAAGGAGTGAATCAGTTTGATAGTCTCTTGTTTTTGTATGATAGATAGAAATGACGAAGTTCCTTCTTTAGAGAAACTCACTTGTTTTATTGGTTTACGAGGTGTTTCCTGAGCTGGATTAGCTTGATTTGATTGGATTGATGTCATGATATAAGATGTGATCTTGATGGTGATTAGCTTTCTCTTGGTTTCTTGTTCTTGTACTTTTCAGTTCCTCAGCATTTAATTTTCTTCAACCTTTCCAAGATCGAGTTTAAGTTTTTTTTTGAATTTTAAGGTTTGACTGAGTGGCATATCTTTAATCACGTGCTCAAGGGTACCTAGTTATCTACCTAACAGATAAAACACATTATCGGTAGCGGCTAAAACACTTCAGCACTTAAGCCACTTAAACATACATAGCCACTCCATGACATCAGATGATCATACCGTATACATGGCTGTCACAGTGCCAGCAGGCATCTAATGTGAAATGGCTTCATTGGGGGAGCGTTTTTTTAATGTGTTGTTCCATCAAACCTTCCTCCAGGCTTGGAAACCGTGGTAAAAACAAGGAGAAATTATCAAAGAACTAAACAAAGATTCAACATCGATTATGAAGTGTGTTTTGTAAATCATGAGGAAGAAACCAAGAAGAAAATCGACAAAATCTTGAGCTGATCATAAAATTGAGGCTAAATAAGGCTTGTTTAGCAGAGCATCACAAGCTAAGAGTGAAATTGGTCTACATAATTGAGGTGGCGATTGTTTGCTTGCGCCACCTACTTCTTTTTGTATCTGACCCTTGGTTTTTTAGACGCGTGAATCACTGACTTGGTCTTCAGATAGGCAAGCATCTGGTATCCGTAATTGTGTGTAAGATGAAAGATAAATTGAAAGCGCCTTTCTTTAGGATTGCGGTATCCGCACCTCCCCCCCCTTAGTAACCGTACCTCCCCCCCCACTTAGCAGGCCTTAAGATACCCCTAACAACCTGTATGTATATTTGAAATTAATCTTCAAATTTTCCAATCCTTTGACCTTGCAGGCGAGTGTGATCGCTTTCGCACACCTTTCCTCGCTCCGTTGTGATTTGAGAGCAATTCAGACGTTGGCACCCTTTGAGATCTTGTTTCTCTGGTTTGTTTTTGTTTTCACATTGGTGCACATCATCACACATTGTCACACATCACTCGCTCGATTTTCAGAACAATCGATAAACAGTTTTCCAGAAAGATTGTTACATATCTTTTGTTTGTGATCGTTCTTACACCTGCAGACTTTGGATGTGTCTCTCAATGAATCTTGAAAGTAATCTATGAACAAGTCTTTATGGGGTCTTTATTGCTTTGTAAACCAGGTCACATGGAATTAGATCTATCTGAAAATGTACATTGATGATCCACAAATTGAACTGAGATGAACTTTCCATATCACTGGGTCACATTCGACAGGTCCGTTTGTTATGACCTGTTTGATGACATTGGCTACATTGGGGTGCGGTTTCTTGGGCTTCTTGATGTTCAAATGCGCTTCGATCTCGCTTGGATTTGTTTAAAGCACCAACTGGTCGGCCACGAGAACGAATTGGAACCGGATCACTGACTGATGGAGTCGGATTAGATAGTATCAGTGCAAGTTGATTCTTTAAGACTGCTTGTCGGTTCGCTGGTAAAGTCGCATTTTGGGTTTGAATGTTCTTGAGCATGGTGTCAATCTTGATGTCCTGGAGTGGTTCAATAGGTGGTACAGTATATTCAAGTCGCCAATGAATGTCAAAGTGTTGAACCAGAAGCTTTTTGCTTGATCCAATGAGCTCCTTTATAAAGTGTGCACAGGGTAAACCCTTCGATCCCGAAACTACATGTGTGCAGATCGAGTCGTTTTTCAACGACAGTGCTTGTCTGTACT